TCGAAAACGTGTATAATATATGAAATTATGAGTCTGTTGTCACTACTAGTTACTTGATTATTTGGTTGTCATGTTAAAGTTATCATTTAACCGGAATTTTCCGCTGGCAAAACAACGAACCAACAAATCTCGATCCATGTGCTGTTGCATGGCAACTGTTTAAGCGCACATCTCCAATTCAAAAGAAGAAACGTAGAATGAAAGGGAGATAGATGAAGAAATTGAGCAAGCGAACGCAAGAAAGAATGAGAGAAAACAGAAGAAAAACAAGGCAGATAAATCTCATAAACAAGTATATATGAAAAAATCAAAAGAAAAATACAGAGAGAAAAAACGAGAACATGAGAAAGTATTTGAAAAGCAAAAAAAAGATGAAGAAAAAGTCTTATAAAAGCTGTGCACGTTGGAAATGAACTCACGAGAAAAAAAAAGTGAATGAAAAGAATACGAAGAAGAAGGAAGATAAAGCTCTCAACACGTGTAGCTGTAAAAGCGTTTTTCACCAAAAAATAAGAAACAATGGTCGAAACCAACATAAAAGATCCATTTTTTCTTCTCTTCTTCTTCACCATCTTGTTCTTCTTCATATCGAATTTTCTATGTTTATGCGATGTTATTTGCTTTTAGGCCAATTTTCTACAAATTTTCTGTATTTGGCTGCACATTCTGCATACATCTCTTTTTTTCTTTCTTTCCGTCTGTCTGTCTCTTTTGCGCTCGCAATTTCTTCCGTTCTCGTTCAAATTTGCTGTGTCCTTCTTTTGTTCCTTTTAGTAAAGCGCGGGCGATGTACGCCCGTGAGTCAATTACAAAGCAACGCTTTTGTTACTTACTTGCCACACATCATTTCTCTGCTCATCATATTCATGATGTATATGCCATGGAACTAATAACACATGCGAGGATATTTCATGCTCTGTGCCATCACGAGCGGTGCGCATTTCATCCCATTTCATTTGAATTATTTTGAATAGTCGGTTTTCCGTTCTGCACAGGGTTTTCCTCATTTCGATTGCATATATAATTGAGACGAACAGCATTTTCATGTGCAATCTAAAAGAAAGAATAATAAAATAACGAATCTAACAGAATGAATAAATAAATAAGTTACAGGAAATGTTGTTTACTGTTTTTTTTTTCTCTATCTCTCACTTTCTCTACCACTTTCGTTCCATGCCCCTTTCCATTTGTACATTTATCGAACCGTCTTTCACATTACTTGACTCACGTGTTAAGTCATTCACAATTCGCCTAATCGAAAATGATGTACAAAGCATGATGATCGAAGGACAATTTAAAAGACAGTTTTGCCGCTGTAATCGAACCATTAACTTTGCTCTCGTTTTCCACACCATCCGAATAATGTTAAATGAATAATGTTGAAGGAGGGGGAGGCCAAATGGTGCGGTAATGGAATGTGAACTGTGAACTGTGTAATTCAGTCCTTTACCGAATCGATCTTCATCTCTAAAAATGTTATCATATGCTCCATCAATCGAATGGTTAATTGATGAGATGGCAAAATTGTGATTGATTTTCGCCTTTATTGCTGCCGATGCTAATGAACGAAAACATATTGAAAACCACTCAACATTGTTATAAAATTCGGATAAATCTAAAAAAAGTCAACAATAACATTTTGAATCACGGTTTTCAAGTTTAGGGCGATTATGAGGTACACACGCCCGATTTTCATCTCATGATACACATTAATTCAATAGGCGAAATACAAAAAAATAGCTAACTAATTGAACAATGAGTTCACCTTAATTTTCTTCGAAAACAACGACAGAAAATAAGAAATTTTTCGATTTCATCGAAATGGTTAAGCAAATGAATTTCGATTTTGGATCAATTTCAGGCAGTGCTTTGTATATTCTTATTTGCTTTAATTGCAAATGGTTCAGTTTCATTCACTTGCATTGTAAACCGTTAATTTTCTGGGTGTCTGTCTGTATTTCGTTTGTTCGTTGTTGATTTATTTTTGTGTAAAAATGAGCAAAACAGCAACAACAAAAAAACGGTAAGGAGAGCATGATTTTAATCTGATGATAATTATTATGAGATTTTCCATGAGAAGGTTTTTTGCAATCCATCCCCAATGGCATGTTGCAACATCCAATATCATCCGCCGTATGGTCTATTGTTGAATCTACACAGTTTTTTTTTTCATCCGTCTTTCTTTTTCCATCGTTTTGTGGTCGACAATGAAAAATAAAATCAATAAATATATCTACTGTAATATCAAATTCAACATCTTTGTTACTCGCTTCGAAACAGAAGCATCAACAAAAACAAAAAAAAAATCTCTTTCTATAAACTCTCCTTTACTCTCGATACGTCGAACAAGACATTTGATACAACCACACCACCTTTACAATACATAGATGTGTATGCGTCAAATTTCATCATCATCATACTTAATTAATTCGTCCGCAATATTACATCGATATAAATGCATGCATCAAGTAGAAATCCTTAAATCGAAAATTTAGTCAATCATTTTGGGTTCATTGAAAATTTTCCAAATCGCAACCATCGTTCGCTCGGTTTTACATTTTCAATCGCAATACAAGCAAAACGCGTATATAATGAACACAATACATTGCGTACTCTTTGGAAAAATCGCTCTTTCGCATGGAAGTTCAATCAGTGACCTGTGCGTTTGATACTACCTAATAATTTTTAATTAATTTAAGCTCAATTCATCCGCATGGTGCTTTTTCCGACAATTTTTTTCATTCTTCTTCTTCTTCGATGCTATTGCAACTGTGTGTTCCAGAACAGGTCTATTCAATATCGAACTATTGTTGGTCTTGCTGCTCGTGTCGTTGTTGTCGTCAGTGGCGTTGTCACACAGCGTTGCTGTGCCGTGTCCTTTGGTTGTTATTGCTGCTGGTGGTTGTAATGGTGGTGTTTTTGTTCGTTCATTCGTGGCTTTTATAAATTCTTTATGCGAATTTATTCATTACAGACGCATACCAACAAGTTATTGAAGCTTCAATAAATTCATTATCAAATTTATAAAGTGAAACGAAAACTCTCATTCTCATACTCGTTGTCTCTTTGGTTTTTATGTCATGTGCACATGTAGTTTTTGTGTCTCAGCGATTTTCATCATCGACGCATCCGCTATTTTGCCTGAATGATTCCGAATTTTCTCTTTCATATCTCTATCTCTGTCTCGTCCACTTTCGAACTCCAACCCTGCATATTCGATTACATATTATGTTGAAAAAAAAAAAAACAGATGCGTTCTAATCACTTGAACGCATGTATATTCAATTGATGATCGAAAGAGTTTCGTTTTTTTTACCCTATCCATCCACTTAACGTCTCTCTGTTACTCTTGCGTGCCATTCATGTCAAACGGATATATGCCCCATATGATGATGTCTCCATTATGCATATCATTGTGTGCATAGTTCTCGTCAATATTACCGTAATGACAATGAAACGATGTTACAAAAAAAAGGGTTGACACATTTTGTATGTTCGGCGAAACTAAACAACACCAGGTACTCATGTGCCCGTATATAAATGCCGATCAACTAATTTCCACGTCATTAAACTTAATTACTTTATACAATCAGTGCTTTTAAAAACAGAGTCTCTTGGTGTAGCTTTCTCTCTCTCTCACACACACACATTGCAGATACCATATTCTGCAGGCATGTGATAACAGCAAATGAAGACAAAAAAATGTAAATGGCATTTGATGGACGTGCGTACCGCGGTGCTCTCTCCACCTCGTCAGTTTGCCTTTTTTGTTTAGTGTGTTGGTTTTTTAATTTTTAGCAGAATCCATGTGAATTTCGCCGTTGAATAAATATCCAATGGATTGACCAAATGGGGTTGAAAAGAATTTTCACTTGAACGCAACAATTTGCTACTGATCAAAGAATTTACGATACTTATTTTGCAATGGAATCGTCTATGTGTCCATTTTTTTCATTTCATTTTTTCACTCTCTCCCTCTCCAATTTCATATTTGTCAAAACCAACGATAAATATGTCTTTAATTGATATTGGTCGTTCGATGCAATTCATTGCCATTTTACAATCATATTTACACTCTAAATCGAATAATTTGTTATCATTGCAGTGCTTATGACTTTTGATTTACAAAACATAAAAATTCTTTTAATCAGAAGAAATGAAAGCGAGTAAATAAAACATGAACAAACCGTATCGGTTATTTTCACAACAAAAATGATTAACAATGTTCTGAGCATTCAAAAGTCGCATAAACGGTCACAAAAAAGTGTCGCAGATTACGGCTCAGTTTAATCTAAATGCGTGCTTCGTATGCAAATCAGAAAATGTGTGTTGTCTGGCTGTGGTGATTCCATGTAATGTTTGGCAGACGTGATATGTCATATCGCATTTGAATATGACACAGCATAAACATTTCAATATCAATTCGTAGCCAACTTCAATTTCGCGATAGAGATTTTTTTTCGAAAAAAAAATTGAATTGAAAAAAATATAAACGTTCATCTACACTGCCCTCTCATATCTCTCTCTTTCTCTTTTTTTATCTCATACACACTCTTGTATATTTTATGCGTTAACCCAGTCAAGATTGTTGGTTAATTTTCATTTTTAAGATTTGATTACTATTTCACATAAAAAAACGGCAATCGTCTCAAGAATCAATTAAATAATTAACAATTTGGGTTGTAAATAGTAGTTTCATCGTGCTTGGGTTAAATACAACGAATAATTATTGGCTGCGTACATTTCTGTAGTACCATCCACTATGAGAGAAAGAGGGAGACTGATGATAATGTGTGAGTGTGTAATTTGCGATTTGATTTGCGAATTGGGGGTTTACGTTAAAAAAAAAAGTGTTTGTATTGAATGTGTCTTATTATTCGACAACACCTACAGATGCAAGCGTACACTTCACAGATCGTGTAAAAATGCGTGTTGTCATCGTCAAAATAAAAACCAACGAAAAAAATTGTGTGTATGCAGCCAATTACAGACTGTTTCGTTTTCCTGTCAAAAAGGTCACTTTAGACGTGTCGTGTGCATTTGAGCAATAACAGCGGAAAAGTTTTTTTCTTTCTTTGTCTCGTCTTGCAAGTAATTCACTTCATTTAACTTGTTTAGTCGTTTGCGCTCTCTGTACGCGCTGCTGGTTTGCTATTGTGCTCTGCAAATATTATTTTTTTTTTAATTTCCATCGAAGTAAGTACCGAAAGAGAATAAATTTCCTTGTTTTGTTTCTTTTAAAATCTGATTAGAAATAGTGCTTTGCAAATTTAAACGAATGGTGAAGAAAAAACAAAATCGAACAAAAAAAAACTCACAGCCACACACACAAACAGACATACAATAAGTGAACGAGCTAAAACAACAATAGAAAGAATGCATTACGTTGAAAGGTGCGCAAAAGCAAATTAATTGGTTGATTGAAATTTTTGTACATCGATCGATTGACTGCGAAAGCTGTCAACTCGTTTATTGTCATTGTTCAACTATGAAATTTCCAAGAAAAACTCAAAAAAATCTCCAAATTGAGAGTTGCCTGGCAATATTATTATATATATTGGTGATAATGCGTTTCAGAAAACAAATTTAACAATAACCACGTTGCATTCGTTTCAATTGTGTCGGGGGGTGTGTGTGTGTGTGTGCGCGTGTGTGTGTGTGTGTGTGTGTTTGTGTTGTGTAATATATTTTAAATTGCCCGGATTTTTCATGTCTTTCATCGAACACGTGCTATTTTCTCACGTTCTGAATCCCCCAATAACGACCTAACGAAAAGAAAATGAAACACGACAACCACACATCACTTTAAGTTGAAAATGTGTTTGCCCCATCGCGCGCAATTGCTCTAACCTTCGCAATGATAATTTTCCAAAGTCTTTGTTATCAACAATACTTTCATATTTCAATATGAAAATTGGAAAAAGAAGCACCTCTCTCTCTCTCTCTCTTTCTCGCTCACGGGTTTGTATGTGTTTATATTTTGTTCCATCGAATTGCGATGTATAGACAATAGAAAAATAAAACTTACCGCAACCAAACAAAAGTTTTTTTTCTTCTTTCATTTAAATCGAAGGAAAATGTGTGTTGACAATCCACCAGTTAAGCACGTGGTCTCACAATTCAAAGAAAAGGACACATATTCATGCGAGCAAAAGACACATTTTTATCTATTGTGATTGTGTAGATTTCGAAGGGCTGTTAAATTTTTTTACTTCCGAATCCAATCGGAAACAAATCATTCTCGTTCGCTCAATCATTCCGTATCAGATCCGTTGGAATGTGTGTCACGCAAAACAACCGTGAATATCGATTAATGACCGAAGCGAAGAAAAAAATCATTTAGTATCATTACTCACATACAATGGCAGTGACAGTGAAACCATTTTTTTTTTCAAATGAAGAAGGAACAAAAAAGACACAACAAATAAATAATCTATATCAGCATTTGATGCGACCACAATCGTATCACATTTATTCTTTTAGACTAATTAAAACCACGTCCGAATTTTATTTTCATTCATTCGGCGCTTCGTTGTTGGGGTAATTTTTTAATGTGGAACGTCTGTTACGTCCGCTCGATTTAATCAACCATATCAATGAATAAAACCCAAAAGCGGACATCATTTTCTTCACCATCATTCAAATTATAATAAATAGTTTTGATTTGTAAATGCTATTTTTAATCCAGATATACCATTTCAAATTATATATCGTTGAATTCTCTTATACTCTCTCCATTTTATTGAGATTTTTTTTTTCTCTCTAATTATAGGCAAATGAAAAATAAATTGAAGCGATACTGATACATGTACAAAATAGTTTAAAAGTGCACGTAATCAAACACTCTATTGTTCAAATTGGTTTATAATTTTTCGGGCGTTTAAATAGGCAGTTTTGTTTGTTTTAAAAAGCTTATAAGAACACCGATTTCGATATAAAAAAAAGGAAGCGAAAACCATCAAATATGTCAATTGAAATGCAAAAGAGTCCTTTAACCGATTTATTGACCGAAAATGGTTTAATTGTAATCGATGGTGGAATGGGAAGTGAGCTTGAAGTGCGAGGATGTACGCTAAATGATAAATTATGGTCGGCAAAAGTGCTTGTTGAAAATCCCGACTTAATCTATCAAGTGCATTTGGATTATTTTCGTGTTGGTGCCGATCTAGCGATAACTTCCAGCTATCAAGCGTCAGTGGATGGTTTTGCACGGCGTGGCATTGATAAAACACAAGCATTGGCATTGATTTCAAAGAGTGTTACATTGGCAAAGCAAGCGCGTACCGATTATTTAAATGAAATAAAATGTTCAAAAAAATTATTGATTGCCGGTTCGGTTGGTCCATATGCCACACTCTTGGCCGATGGTTCTGAATACCGTGGCGACTATCAAGTGTCACACACCGAATATGCTGCATTTCATCGGCCACGTGTACAGGCATTGGTTGATGCGGACATTGATTTTTTATGCTTTGAAACGATACCAACGATATCGGAGGTCGAATCACAATTACTACTCTTAGCCGAATTTCCAACGATGACCGCATATTTTTCATTTAGTTTACGTGATTCGGAGCATATATGCGATGGTACACCATTATCAACTGTTGTCAAAATGGTAAATGCACAGCCACAAGTTGTGGCGATTGGAGTGAATTGCATTGCATTGGAAAATGTAAGCGCAGCACTGACCACACTCAAATTTTTAACCGATAAACCATTGTTGGTTTATCCAAATTCCGGTGAGAAATACGATCCAGTTACAAAAACTTGGCTTAGCAAAACCAATACACAGTCATTGGTCGATTATATTGATGAATGGATTGCATTGGGTGCTAAAATGATTGGCGGATGTTGCCGAACGGGCCCACAGGATATCGCACAAATTGCCGATAAATTGAAGATTGAAAGCAATTGAGGCAACACCAAACCAATTTACATAGCTACAGAGTGACAGCCAATTTTCAAGTGGCCAATTGATTGCACGTAAACACATCCACTTGTTTGAAAACAGAGCATATACTGAGCATAGATATATATCCGGGATATTTTGTGAGTATCCGATATTTATCGCAGCCAGACATTATAATGGAGTGAAAACAATAGAAGTGATTGTTATAGGTCTAAGTATAAAACCATTTACATTACTAAAATCACTATAACAATAACTTCTATTGTTTTTACTCTATTTCAAAGTCTGGCTCCAATGAATATCGGATACTGACAAAATATCCAGGATATATATCTATGCTTAGTATATGCTCTGTTTGAAAACCTTTATGTTGCCGTTCATTCATTTTTAAAACGCAATTTTTCTACATATAAATGTTTATTTTTTGGTCTTGTTTTCGCAGCGTCTCGCACAACGCTCTCTCTCTCTCTCTAATTTAATGTATAACATTTTTCTACACTCAATTTCTATTCACAACAACAACAACAACAACGGCAACAACAAAATCCCGAAAAAACTTATCAATCTAAGACAGAAATACAAGCAAGATTCTTTTAAAAACAAATATACACATCACATATAAATACGACGTAAATATTAAAATATCAAAGCTATAATTGTACATTGAGCTAAAAATACATATATATATTTTATACATTCAGTTTACGCTAATATAGCAAAGACTTTTTGTTTCAATAAAGTAAGTCCGTAAGCTTTTTTCCTCTATCTTTCTCTCTCTCTCTTCTTCTTCTTCCTTGTTCATTTTCTTTCGCTTCTTTGTACCCCTTTTTTGTTAAGTAGACAATGGTTTGGAAATCGCATGGAATGTGCTATATTAATATTCCGTGACACATGTCTTTAGGGTGCTCTCTCTTTCTACCAAAGTCCAATGAAAAAACTGAACGCAGCAAAGCACTGAATCAAAAGTGAAAGAACACCCAAGCATAGCCGATTGAAAGCACATAAATCTAATTGTTGTGTGATGGCAGTATGACGTGGAGAACACTGGGGAGCGTTTGATGTGTGTGTTTGTTGGTTGGTTGGAAAATGACGGTGTGTTGTTTGGGTCCGCGAATAGATTTAGAAATAGGTTTCCATATACATGAATTATGGAAATATGAAATTCATTTGTTTCTATACTTATATAGCGCAATTGCTGTTATTTCCATATGAATACGTATATTTTTACATTTCTTTTCACTGTTATGATACTTCAGTGGCACGCGGAGAGAACCGCACATACACATACATTCAATTACATTTAATTTACATGTTGTTGTTATATGGACTCATAAAATGTAATGAATGACCACCATCGGCGATACGAGTATGACATTTTGAATATGTGTTGTTGTGGCCGTGTATTCACACTGCCCCTACGGTTGCTTGATTTTTTTGCGCTCTGTTATTTGACCGAGGCTATTTGACATATTCATACACACTGTGTGTCTTATAATCATCCATAACAATCATAAACTATTAACCAAGTGAATACCGTTGAAATGCTTCGCAAAGTTCTCCTTTTTTATTTTTTGATCGTCAGACGCAGTCGCAAGCCCACAAAAGAAAAGAATAAAAGAAATTGGCAAACAAACAACTAAAACTAAAGCCAAACTACCCTTTCAAAGTGTTCCATGCATAAGGAAGCAGTTATTGTGTTGTTTAACGTTCATTGTGTATCCAATGATTTGGTTTAACATTGAAAAAATGACAATTTTTTTTGTTTCATTCTTCCGCATTTCGGTCTTTATTGTTTGTTATTTTTCTTTCTCATGTCGTGTGTGCGTGTCTTCTTCTTTTTCTTTGGTGTTTTTTTGTGCTGTGCCATACGTAGTCGCATTTAAAATGCGATATTGGCTTTACGACTTCTTCATTATTTGTCAACAAAGCGATTTGCTTTCGAACTCTCGCACGGCTGCCAATCAGTCATTCCGCCAGCTAACATGCTCGCTCGCGCACTTCTCTCTCCCTCTCCCACTCTTTCTCTCTTATACACATTGTCTCCTTCCACTTTTGTTTCCCATTGTTTTCGGTATGTGAGTCGCTTTGACCTTGCCCTTGATGCGATTCCACGATTAGTGGCTTGTATTGGCTGATGAACTAGTGATTAGTGAACGAATGAATAAACGAACAACGAACAAAATAAAATTTATAGAATTCCAAATTATGCAAATGCGGTTTTTGGGTTTCAGTTTCATTTCAGTTGTGTCTCTTTCTCTTCACACTCTGTGTATGTACTTCACGATATCTGATATGTCGAGCACACACACATGGCCATTCGATTTATCGGTCATTTCGTTTAGTAATAATTTGTGTCTAATTTGAAAAAAAAAATGGATCTATATTATATGACGTTTTTATATTACGAATGAAGACTGGTTGTTATTGTTATTCATCTTTTTCATTCGTTTGTCTCGTTACGTGCCATTAAACCAGTTCAACCAACGGCAATACTTCGATTATCATGCACTCACATGCACATAAAAATTACATTGTGATGTATCTCGTCGATTGACGTCACCAAACCACATTCACACATCATTATCATTACAATCAGACAGCACAGACACAGCGAGAGAAAAAAAATAACCAAAGCACTGACACTTTTAAACAAATAAATCTATTGTATGTATTTCCATAATTTGCTGCTTAAATTCGATGCAAAAAGAACGAAATCGAAAAAAAAAGAACTCAAATTGACATTACCATTTCAGCATTGTGACGTTGTATGTGTCTATTTGGATGAAATTGATCTAAATATTTCGTCTTCATAAATCTTTGATTGGATTGTTTTGCGCCGTTGGTTTTTAGACCTACCGATGATGGTTCTATTTCTATTTCGTGTATATTTGATAATTAATGCGGTGAGTTGGTGAGAACCAGCTTTTTTACTTCTTCAATGATAAAAGCAAAATAAGACGATTTTTTTTTCGGACACTAATCTATTCTACGAATTTTGAGAGAAACCGATATATAATCGTCGTGTACGAGGAAAAACCAACCAAACATGTTGCCGAAAGAAGCAATGAAATTAGAAATAATGCCGCTTAAAATATATTGTGGGGCATATTTATACACATTTTGACGGGACGTTCAGTTTTGACCAAATGCAGAAAATTTATCGCGGTTATACACTGGGTTGCTGCAAAACACGTATCACTAGCGCCCTCACTGTATTGCATATTGAAGTAACTCAATAGTACGTGTGTGAAATGTGAAGATTTTTTCTCGCACGAACTAGATGGCGCTAATAACTAAGTGTCTTTGCAGCAATGGTGTGCGGTTATACGAACCGTATTTTGGCTTCCGTGCTTAGAAATGTCAATTTTAATCAGATGTGTTACATAGAACAAAAATAGAAATGAATACAAGTGTTGCAAAACTGCACTAGGGGTTGACTGATTTACAATTATGGAAATTTGATTCGATTCAGTTCCATTTTTATTGTTTGCGACAAAACAGAAAAAAATGAATGAAGATTTTAAAACCTTCAAGTGACGAAACAAATTATTATTTTACATTTCAATTAAAACATTGATACTCTTGAATTCTAATTCAATTTTTGTCTGTTTATTTGAGAAATCGTATTTTCAAAAAAAAAAAATCTCAACACTTAGAACCGACTGAAAAAAGGCAAATCTTACAAAAATAGCACATTGTGTTTTTTTTTTTGGATAGAATTGGACGTGGTTTTTTTAAATAACAACAAAAAATGTTTCGGTCATATTGTTGGACGAAAATAATATAAATTTTCCCGATTGTCTAATTTGCACATAAGACAAACTTTCAATTTATGAATAAAGAAAAAGTGGCTTCTAAATTTGTGCTTCGCTCTTATTCGATGGAAAAATTTAAAACGTGTAGATAAACGATAAAATGAAAATAATCGTTCATATCCATAAAAAAATAAACAAAGTCTTGCCGTCGACAAAGTGGATTTTTATGAACGAAACCCATAAAAGCAACCGCATCAAATAAATGTGACTCTGTCTAACCATTATCCCCGTGCCAAGCAATGCCATTTTATTTCTCACGGTGAATGTTTGCTTATTATCACTTTTTCTCCAGCGTTAAATATGCAAAGTGGTCAAGGGGTTTCGGGTAAGAAAGTTTCTTCAATTTCACCGAAACTGTAACTTTCTGCATGTTTCTTTTCCCTTTTCGCTTAATTTGTACATCATTTATCTGTTTGACTAACAGACAAGTCTACCATTTCAAAATGATTCATTTAAAAATTGATAAACATATTTTTGATGTGGCCAGTTCTTGTTATCTCTTTCGCATGCAATGTTTTGGTTGATATGGAATTTCAAAGCGAATTTCGTTTATTTATTTTGAACATTTTTGGACGTTATTTTGGAGAATATTGCTTAAAGTTGTTCACACAATTCCGGCAAATATGCACCATCCACGCCTCTTATGCCATTATTATTCATTTTTAATGAATGGTAGTTACACTTTGCGACCTACAGATGTACTACTATCTAGCAATAATAAGCGTTTTTCTATATAAAGTTGGTTTTGTTTTTTTCTTAGTCATTTTTTAATGATTCAAAATGTAAAAATTGATTTGCTTTTGAAAAATAAACAGAGAGAATATTGTTGGATTGATATAGACAAGTGCCTTATTATATAAATGGTTGGTTAAGCCAATGCTCTTTTTCTCACTCTCAAGACACAGACAGCCACAACGATACGTTTACCATGTTGTGCAAGAAGCAAATTTCATCAATTGCAAATTATTGGGCGGATATATCTATTTTTATTCAATATTTGCTAGAAGTTCGAATTTAAAATTAAAATCCTTTTTTTGCAAATTGAGTCTCGAATTTTCTTATCGATAAGATATGGAAAGAAATGTGAAAAACTCATCAACTTAATACCGACAATGAAGAGATAAAGAATAATAATTTCAAAATCTCGTGCTCGAAATGTTCTAAAGAAGCTTACCGAATCGAATGGAAAGAAATGACGAGCCATCTAGAAACGAAAAAATGCATTAAATTAGAGTGATTTGATTTTTTTCGATATTTATTCAATCTCTTCTTAACAATTAAAAATAATTAAAAGTTATTTAAAGGATTTGAGTACATTAAATAGAAATAATTTCAAATCAAATCAAATGTTTTTGTTGAACGGCGTGAAATCCATTTTTTTATTCATTTTTCGTCTGATTGTAAAATCAAGTTAAAGTAAAACATCTTGTGTAAATTAATACTTTCATATATTGTCTATTTTTGCCTTTTTTGATACATATTGTGATATTCCTAGTATGCGATCCGCAACGTAAGTCGAAAAAATGGTAGTTTCTTAAGTATTTATTGTTACCACATTTACATCTACTCATCTTGGCTGATTTCATTTGGATTAAAACGATAAGTACAGGGGAGAGTATAGTTTTACATTACAATAAAATACGTAATTTCTCGTTGCTTAGGTTTTTTTCGTCGGTGTGCCTAGAAATAAATAGTTTGTTGTCCAAAAAATTTCCTGGGCTAAGGATTAATTCGGATGCATTTTTCAAAAGGTCTATTACGTTGAACATATTGGGAGCTTCGGTCAGTGAATATGTCCCTCGAAGCTCTCCTTCGCGATATTTAGCAGTGGACATCTGCTTATGTGATGAGGGCTACAAGTCTTGAGTCATGTAGCTACCATTCTATGCATACTAGCGAGGCGCTCTGGGTAAATTCAAAATATAAATCGTGCCATCTTAAATGTAATATGACAGATGTTCAAACAATAATAAGAAACATCGAAACATATATATAATAAAGTCGCGATTTTTAATGTATTTAATTTTTCTGCAACTCTGTTTCTGTCACATTCTTTCTTTCACTCATGTCTTTGTCTACATGAATCTGTTTACGCTCGCCTGTGTATTATTTTTTCTTTCATTTGAATGTGCGTGGGCAGTAAAACATTTTCGTTTTGAAAATAGACACATTCTCGATGAGCGTCACATATATGCCACACTCTCAATAGAATATTCACAAATTGCTCGTCGAAAAGAGTGTCGTAACATGGGCCGAAGAGCGAGCATTTCTGAATAAGCGCTTCAGACTGGCAATGTTGTTGTTCTGCTATGTTCACCATCATCCTAATTTCTTTGGATGAATAAATGTTTGTAAAGCTTTTGTTCAGTTGCTTTTTGGTAGAACTCCGTTGATAAATCAGTTTTGCCTGTTGCCTTTAGCTTTGTTGTTTGGCTTTTTTTCTTATTTGTTGTTTGCGTACATTTTGGAGCGCATTTCTCATTTTAGCGCCAATCGCAGTGATATAAAAATGTGCTTTACTTTTATCGCGTGTAAAAGTGTGTGTATGTGCTACTCTTCTGTCGTTGTCTCTCTTTCTGATGTTCACTCGCGTAAGTTTATTATATGTGGGTGTCTATGTATATGGATAATAATTTTTATCCCCATTCATTTTGCCACTCTTTTTTCACTCTCTTTTGCTCAGTTCCTCATTTCGTTCTGGTTTTTGCTATCGACGTTGTCTTAATTGTCGTCATTTTCATTTTACGCATTAAAAACAGAATTCTACAAGCACACGCGAGCACGTGTGACTAATTCTGTTGAGCGCTCTATCGCGCCGTTATTGCCGCCCTATTTAATGGCAACTTTTTTTTGTCTCTCTGACTCTCGATGCTTTCAAACAAACTTTCTTACATGTATACTCATAGAGAGTGAAAGATCCACAAAGTACACACGTTATAACTCTTATGCACTTCTTAAGTAGCACCAGAATCATTTGCTTACTCTTTTTCTCATTCGTTCAATTGAAAAAAAAAGTATTTTCGCGAGAAAAAAACTGAAAGATAACACGCACAGGGTACCAGTTAAAAAGGAAACTTTTATCACTATTGTTTATGTGACAAAACTCATTCGGCCTGAAATGGACATCATCGTTCGGTGTTTTCTGTGTGCATCATTTACATTTCGATTCATATTCACAATTCATGCTTGTCTAGATGATTTTCATTCAGCGAAAGGAAAAAACACACATATATGCACATAAAGCAAGTCCCAATTACAGATGAACACTCTGTATTTGAGTGGGCACTCTGTATAAGATGTGACACGAAAGGAAACGTTTTTTTCTCTGCTTGTATGCCTTAGAATGAAAGCTATGAGAATGCCACTGAAGAAAAATAATAATGTCAACAAAACGATAGTACAAAAGGATATCTGGTACAATTTAGGATGGTAAAGAACTTTTTCTCTATGTGACCATTAAGCCATAGCATAAAGAAGATAGCCAAAAATTATAGAGAAAAGGAATAAAAATGCCGTAACTAAAGCAATGTGCTATCGTATATTTCGGTAGAAAGAATGATTATGCAGAAGAAAGTCAACTTAATTGGTTTGCAATTTGTCGGCTCACATAGTTTGCCACATTGTTTATATGAAAAAGAAACGACTTCGTATCACAAATGGGATATTAAGATTTTAGATCCACAAAGTCGATTATTTTTGTTTTTGGTTTATTCCGCACACGGGGCTTTGCTTTGATTCAATCGAGATGAAAAAAAGTTGAAGAAAATCGAATGGTCATTGCACACATAAAAACTGATTTATCTCATACTTGTAATTATATGTACACATGTGTGTGTTTCATTGCAACTTTAAACAAAAATACAGTTTTTCAAACAATGTTCTTTCACAATTTCATTTCTTCCAAAAAAGAAGAAGAATTCAAATCTCCTCACAGCCATCAATGATCTCTCACAAATCAAAATGTAATTGAAACTAATAAGGACATGTATCTTTTTTTACTTTCATTTCAGCTCACACATATAAAATTGCAAAGTAAATGATGGTGCTGAAACATAGGTAGATTGACCTGATCTGATTCTTCAAGTGCAACAATTCATTCAACATTCAGGAAATCAAGTGGATCCAAAGCAAAAGAAAAAAACAGGCGAAAATAAAAAGAACAATTTGAAAATAGAAAATGATTAAAAGTGATTGTACAGTCAATTATTAGCGAGAATTTTTGTTATTGTTGTTGACTTGTTGTTGCTTATCGAATAAAATTGTGTGAGTTTTTGGATTATAAAGATTGAAAAAAATACAGTCAACAACGACACAAACCAAAAAAATTGGGGAAATTGATCAAGTGCAAATTAAATGCTGAAAAACAAGTGATCAACAGGCGAAACAATCATAGATATAAAGTCACACAACACAATAATTATTGTAGTGGAGAGAAATCGTTGAAATTACTGTAAAAAAAATTTCGTTTAAATTTGCATTGAAACGATTATAAAAATGGGTAGAAAGAAAATTCAAATATCCCGAATTACGGACGAACGCAACCGACAGGTAAGCAACATGTACCCTTCATTGTTATAGTGATTTTCATTAAGTTTGAGTTATTTTGGCTTTTTGTGGGTGACAATTCAACTGAGACAATTCTGCAAATTGTCGATACCGAAATATTGAATTAAAAAAAAAAGATCAAATTGCAAGTGCACAACAATCGAAAACATGTATCGAACAAAATGCGCACTCAAAATGAAAACGAGCTACTTGCACGATAGATACTATATTAATTGATGCATTTTAAATGACACCCAAATAATGGTGTTGAACGGTGTTAGACTATCAATTTGGATAATTTAGCTGTAAGTTCCTGCAATATGATTATGATGTATTTATCATTCCACTTTTGTTTCTCTTTTCTCTCTTTCTCTGTCTACGTGTGCGTTTTTGTTCTTCTGCTTCTTTCTCTTTCTCATTCCGATTGCTGTTGCTGCTGTTGCTGTTATTTATTTGATCGATTTCCAGGTCACCTTCAACAAACGTAAATTCGGTGTTATGAAAAAAGCGTACGAATTGTCCGTGCTATGCGACTGTGAAATAGCATTAATAATATTTTCTAGCAGTAATAAATTGTACCAATATGCCAGTACAGATATGGATAAAGTGCTATTGAAGTATACAGAATACAATGAACCACACGAAAGTCTAACAAACAAAAACATCATCGAGGTAAGTTTTTATTGCCAATTATAATATTGTACATATTTTCTTCGCGTACGTGTGTGTGTATTGTGTGTTTTTGTTTTGCCTTTCTCACTAAAATCGACACAGTCATCGCATATTCCATCACATCGTGTTATGAACTATTTTAAAATTAATTATTTGGAAAACAAATTTCACACACACATATGTATATATGAAAAATGTTGATTGCATTGAAATATTCACCGGAAGCTCTTTCGAAAGGCTTTTAAAAAATAAAATAAAAATGTTTTTCTTACAAATTTCTGCCCCCCCCCTGAAAAAATGCAGAAAGAGCATAAAAATGGTGTGATGTCACCGGATTCTCCGGAACCAGAAACCGATTATACATTGACACCTCGGACTGAGGCCAAATACAATAAAATCGACGAAGATTTTCAGATGATGATGCAACGAAATCAACAGCAACGTGTTGCCATATCTGGAGCAAATTATTCACTTCCAGTAACTGTGCCAATCACAGCTAATTACGCAGAATCTGGCATGCTACAGGCCAGCCCACAAATGGCACACACAAACATCAGCCCGAGACCATCCAGCTCTGAAACGGATTCAGGTACGGTTTTTTTTTCTGTTCTTATAATTATTTTAAAATCGAAATTTGTTAACATTAACATTGAGTAGAATATTCAAATGATTTTTACACAATTAAGCACATTCACAAGCACACATAACACATAAATTCATTCATTTTTGATGTAGTACGATGTAGACTTGTCGTTTGTTTGAACACATTAGTTTAAGTGTCATTGGAAGTATAAAATTCAAAGTCTATCAGACTCAGAGACTGGCTCACTTTTGGTTCATGGATTTGCAGTTTCAAGCAGTCATTTTTTTTTTTTTTTTCAAAAATTTAACCATTTTTTTTGTTTTCGTTTCATTTCAAATGGTAGACACAATTTTTCAGTTGAGTTTAAATATGTTGAAAATCATTAAATTATGCGGTGATGGTAGAATATTTAAGTGATGAATTTAAAACGAACAAAGACTGCCTAAAACTCATGTCCTCTTTTTTTCATTCTCTCTCTATCTCTATCACTCTATTTCTATGTGTTTGTTTGTTCATTTAGTTTATCAAACAAATTCGATGCTTGACATGTCAAATGGATATCCAAATTCTGCATCACCCCTTGGTGGATCGCCGAGTCCCGGACAAAGTCCAAATATGGGCGTACATCATAACAAATGTTAGTATCAATCGATGAAAGATGAGGAAAACGTTCACACAAAAGTGTTCCGGTCAACACCAATTATACAGCTTGCGATCAATCATGACGCTCTGCCACAAAGCAACAAAAACAAATCGCATTTCAGCAAATTTTTCATTGATATCCAATAAATCACATAGTTTTTTTGTGTCATTTTCCGTGTGAACCAATTTTTGTGGTTTTGTGGTTGACCAAATTGCACGTCATTTCGAAAAATGTGTCCCAAAAGAATAAAAAAAACTTTTGTTTTTCGTTGAAGAATTTTTTTTCCCTTCCCCCATTCATTTATTTCATTCATTTTAAATGTTCAGTGCATAATTAAAAAACACGATTTGTGTGATTTCATTTGGTTTTACGTTTCAAGCAAAAAAAAAAACGTGAAATTGAATTAATATTTGTGTAACTTTAGCTTCGCATCATATCGGCCATCGACAACATTCACCTGGTGGACAGGGCGTACGTAACTCCAGTCTAAGGGTGGTAATTCCCGGATCAATGAACAATTCTGGACTACAGGCAAATGATGAGATTACATACAATGAAGTAAGTCATCGTTTACCTTCATAAATTCGACCATAGATTTTTTTTTTAAATGACAATGTTTCACTCTTTAAAAAACAGCATCGGCAACAATCCATAAATACTCCTGTTGTGGCGTTACAAACGCCAGGCATTACGGGATTACCATATCCAGCGTTAAGTTCATTTGGCGCGCAGGATTTTTCGATAAATTCAACCGATGTTATGAGCTTATCCAATTGGAATCACCAAAATATCAGCAATTTACATCATACAAAGTAAGCATTTTTGATATTGCGCTACTTTTTAACATACACGGCAAACATATTTTGGTTGTAATGACATACTTTCTGACCTGAGATCGATGGGTCCGATTTGCGTAAGCTTTTTTCTCTCCGTAATCGACTTTGATCCGAGTGGAGAGTGGAATCAAAAGAATCTTCAACTTTTTCCCTCCTTTTAAATCTTCAACTTCAGAAAGTATGCTTACTGACGTCCTTCGATCACTGATGATTTTCTAATTGATTGGAATTCTTTTTCTTAAAATAATTATTTCATACGTACGAGCTAAGGAGAAATGTTCATCAATTTTTATAATATTTATATTTGATTTTTTCGTAGTTTGTCTCATCTAGCTGTATCAAATAGTACGCCGCCACCAAGTACATCACCGATAGCAATCAAAGTAAAATCCGAACCGGTCTCACCACCGCGTGATCATCACTTGGCACACACTCAAAGCTCAGCTAGTCTATCGATAACAACGATGAATAACGCTACATCAAATTCAAGCATATTAAATCATCCGCAACAGCATCTGATTATGAGCTCAAGGCCAAATTCGACCGGTGGACATTTAACACCGACACCAGGTAAGGCACATGCATTTTATTCACTTTCACATACAGACCACAGCAATGAAATACCTACTACGACGCCATGTTACTATACTTGTCCATTACAACGTACATGTAACAGAAGAAACACACAGTCCATGTCCACGCTATTGGACATAACCGATTTGAACCGTCAATGTGAACTAGATCAAGTATAGAACTTTACATAGGATCATATACGATGAATATGGATCTGTTTCAAAATACCGTCACCAATGTCGACACCATTTGACATCAAAATTTTGACAGTAAAAATATGTGTTATTGTTGTTGTCGTTTCATTGCTGTGATACAGACACGTATGTAAGCCGTCTTTTTCCTCCAAATTATTGTCACCCTCTTGTCACGATTAAGAGAATTTATAAAAAAAAACCCTTTAAGAAAAGTACTTTTTTTCAGTGTGTCCATAACATATAGAAATAGCACTAAATAGTGTGGATATCTATATTTATCGGTGCACTATATATGTAAGATCAGTAATGTGCGAAGGGGGGGGGAGGGGGTGTTTCACTTTCGTTGTTCAGATGAGAGAATTTTTAGTTTTTGAAAAATCACCCCCACCTGTAAAATGTAGCTCGCACATTACTGATGTAAGATATTCCGCAAGACACCGTGGCTCACGATCGAAGTGAGTGCGGACGGCAAACATGTTGACGCATACACACAGGTCTTTCTACTGCCACACATCAATTTGTGACTTTTTCCGTCTACACTGACTTCGATCGTGCGATATTTCTATATTTAAATTTTATGGTTTTTACTTCCTCTTCTATTCCGAATGTAGGATCCGTGACACCGACAAATGTTTCATCACCGAGTGATATGCATCGGCACAATAACAGCGCTCACCTACAAGATTATGATTCGCCGAATCAAAACCACAAAAGGCCACGAATATCGGAAGGCTGGTCAACATCGGATCAACTATGACCAACTATGACAAAATGCGTGTAAGCCCGTCGTGTAACAAACAAGTGAAAAGTAACAAGTTCCGTGCAATATTTGTGCTAAAAAAATGAAACAAAAAATGAAAGGAAAAAAATGTACATTTGTTGTGGACAGAATGTTTTTATTTTATTTAAATCGAAAATATGTTGCATCAAAGATGCATCTTTTTTTCACATCAGACGCGAAAAAAAAAATAAGACGAGAGAAAAAATGGTATGAAAAGAGACACAATTTGGCGACAAATAAGAGAGATAAAAAAAGAATCAAACAAACTCATTTGAATTGTTCGTTTGCATCGGTGTCACTGTCTGATATCTCAAGCTCTCCGTTTATTAGCATCCGAAAAAAGAAAGAAAATTAAAAGCAAAACACAAACATACACACGCAACCGATTGCGGCGACACAAGCGGCGGAGAAACACAGATCGGGACATACACACAACAACAACACATACACATCAGAATTCGACTATGAGAGAACAGAGTTTTACATTAGCAGTAATTATCATTACCAAAATTACACATTAAATTATCATTATTAAAACAAAGAAGAGAAGAAAAAACATCAAAAATGATGTGCAAGATAAACACAAATGATTTTACAGAAAGTTAAATGTACCAATAGTGAGATGCGACAGAAAACAAAAAAAATTATATATATTATATTATATGATTTGTAATGGTTGTTAATGTATTTTTTTTGCTGAAACGTTTTAAATGTGAACAGAAGAAGAAAAAAAACTTATTTTGCTAAGTTAATTCATAAGAATAATCTGATTCATTTGCTGTCAATATTCGTAAAAAAAAAGAAAAAAAAAAATTATTTCGAAGAATAAGTTCTATATAAAATCACACCAAATATCTAAACACACACTCACCACAACCACCACGACACATGCAGCAAAGCTACAAAAACACTTGACCTTATAAAATAATATTGAAAGTATACACGATAGTCCTTCTTAGGACATAGTGAACACTAGCACATGGAAGCATACGTAAACAATGAAAAGACTCATTATAAAATCGGTTAGAAAACGGATCGCAGGAAGTAAAATTAAGTCAACATTTTCGAACGTGCTGAAATTTAGAGAAAAAAACAAACATACACATAGTTTTCAATTCACTCGAACCAAATTTGGTTGATAATTGACGACATCAATCCATGGTTTCGATTCGCACTCGAAATCGTTAACACTAATCTTTTACAATATTATCGAGCTTAACGTGTGATTTTTCTTCTTGTTCCGACGTTATGTACAATATATAAAATTGCACGATTGCACATTTTCAAAAAAAAAAAAAAAAAGAATCACACATACACAATTTCTCGATCATGATATTTAAACGAATATAAAATGAAAACATCTTCTATTTCTCTCTTCTTTCTTTTTCTCGGTTCATTTTTCTTTTATTTCAATTCAAATGAATTTCGGCGTCTTCAAAAGAGTTCAAAACCGCAAGAATATTTCTTCTTTTTTTTCGTACGGATTTTCGCCAGATTTTCCTCGTTACAAAACACATACTGAATGGAATAGAAAACGCAGAGAAAAAAATGGTGAAAAATTAGTAGGAATTTATTATTATTTTTAAGCGTAAGAGAATATTTGCAGAAAAAAATGAAAAAATTGTTATTTGTCACTATTAATTAATAAGGTACAGCCCAAAATCATATTTTAACGTATAGTGGCAAAGAGTGCATGCCGTGTATTATTTTATCGAGGGATAAAAGTGCAAGAAATAGAAAATGAGAAGGAAAAATATTAATAATAAACAACCGATTGACCAAGTCAATACACAAGAAGAAAAAGAAACTAGTTAAAACGGGGATAATTTTGTGCCATCCACAAACCACGAATGTAATTGCGCGGGCCAAATAAATAAGTAAGAGGCAGGAAAGTTGTTATTGTTAGAATTAATTGGATTGGTATGCGAAGGAGGAGGTGGAAAGCTGAATGAATCATGAACCAAACCAGATGACATACAGGACACCTACCCTGTACGTTTCTCTTGAGCTTATTATATTTAAAACCGATTCAGTCGATTTTCTTTGAGTCAAAAAAATGAACAGTTACCTCATAGTAACTTTAGTATTTGGTTGAATGGCCACTTTTTGTTTTTAGACTTATTTTCTGTGGTGCTAATAAATTTTTCTTGCCGTGGTCTTCAGCTGGCTTAAACCAAATTATGAGAGCGCACTTTCATCCAAAACCAATTTTCAAACCACTGAAAATAAGTAAACGTCAAACATTAATAACGGTTGCAATTTTCCAGAGTGTTCGATCCAAATTAGATTGATAGCATTCTTCAATTTAAATTTAACAACTCCATTCACCTCATGTGAAAAAAAAAAATATATAACGAAAATAAGAGTTTTGGTGATTTTAATTTGTCAATAACATAGAAATTGGATTGAATGAGTGAAAGAATGCCGTTGTGAACCATTGCAAAATAATTTTTGCCAAAATTGACACATAAAACAAAGCTTTAAATGAAAATCCAAATAAATTATGTGCCACTCAATTCTTTCCGTTTCACATACAATTCTCTTTAGTGTTCATGTATGATTTGCACGGGTTGAATACCGACCAAAAGTCAATTCCAATTAAATTGTTTTTATTTGTTGAAAAAATAATTTCGTTTTTTACAAGTAACGACCAAACCCGAAGACAAACTAAATTATTTGAATGAATTGAAAATAAAAAGAAGACTATTTTTTTATTCTCTTTTTTAGAAATTAAATGTACTTTAACAGGGATCTATTCAAATGATCAAATGCCTTTCAATTCCGAAATGTTTTTTCTTTCTTTCAAATTTTCGATTTTTCTTCCCTATAGTGCCCATTTTCAGACTCGTTCCATCTGAGAATATTGATATGGTCGTCATCTTGTAAACGAAAGAAACTAAACCGCCAAACCAATCATTGTCTAGTTGGTAAAGATAGAGAAGTAGCGAACGAAATAAAAAAAAGGGAAAAAAAAAGTTTAGAAAAAAAAAACATTGTTACCTTCAACGTCTGTAAAATGACAGCCATGATAAGTAAGAGACAAATTAAATAAAACATTTAAATCGACACAACCAAACGATTGCATCAACTTCCGCCCTTTTTAGATAAACAAAACAAGTAAAATAAGCTAGAGTTAGAGTTAAAAGAAAGCGAGTAAATTGAATGGAAATGAGTTGAACTTGAATTAAAATTCATTCGGAGAGTAAAACGAAACAAGAGATATAAGTATCCCCCAAGCTTAAATCAAGAGAGAAATTGCATACAATAAATATTAAAAGCACACTCAATCAAATCACAGACACACACACACACACACAACTAACACTGTGTATATCTCATATATTCTCTCGGGAGGTGTAACATGAACAATTACAGACCAATAATTATAATTTTAATAAATGGTTCCAAACTTAATTGAATACGGTATGATGTGTTTTTTTATAGAATGTAATGTAAAGTGTTATGGCATACAATAAAAAAAATTATGAAAAATTGAAGAAAAAGAAAACAACAAAATTGATGTGAATATATGTATATTTACCATGCACGCTTAAATGATATTTACATAAAAGAAGAAGAAACATTATATTGTACGATTAAAACAACAACAAATCAATTTAATATAAATGAAAACCACACACACACACACACACACTCACGGATATTATAATCATGATAAACATTGCACTAATTTGTATTCATACAATTTAAGTGAAAGAAAAAAAAAACCCGAACATAGCTAGATGCCAATAAATTCATGTATAATGAAGGAGAAAACCAATCACAAAATTTATCCAAGTGCACTCAAATTCGTATTTGAATTTAAGAGAGTATGAATGAAAGAAAAACTATTGAGAAACAAATAGATTTATAATAAAATAGCCTTTAATGAGAGCACGAAACTATCATAATACTATCGACGATAGAGAGTTACAAAAATGTGGAGAGATGAATTTACAAATATATTCGATATACAAGTATATTAGTTACGATATGGATCCACAAGTCATTGAATATAGAAACAAAGGCGGGCATTTTTTTTGTTAAAAAACATTTTCGATTTTTTTTTATAAAATAAAATGTTGATTGATGCAACGAAATCTCCGGTCTCTGTTGTACAAGGATTTTGTCATCGATCACGGTTTTGCCGGTTCCCTTTGTCAATTTGGATTCTCTTATTCACATAGTCCACAATTTCGATTTTTCGAATCAATAACACTCTTTTCATTCACTCTCACCCCGTTTGCTCCATTTTTTTTTTCTATTTGGGGTAAATAATTTTATTATGCTATATTTTTTTTATTAATTTTATTGTCATTGTTATTATTGCCATAACTCATATATTACCTAGTGCAATGTACTTACTTATTTAAACGAGAGAAAAACAAATGGGGAACTAGATTTTTAGTTCAATAGGAAATATGCAATGAAAATTCTTTCCTACGGCTAAAGAATAATCAAACATGAATAAAAGAAGAAGAAGAAACATTCAAGTCATTTCATTGGTGGTTTTAAATGAACTTGGTAGACCGTGTTACTCAATCAAAGTCTCTCAAAAGATTTAGAAAGTGGCCCTCGGAGACAAACCACGTCATTTTATTCAATTATCTCAATCCCTATATCGATTTCTTCTAGCAAGAAAAGAACGAAATGTGTAGTCGAATATACATGTGATTGTTGTTTTTGGGCAAATATTTTTCAAAACAAAAATCGGAGATTTTAAAGAACAATCGAACGCTGCATGTCTGCAACATATCGAAATGAAAACCAAAACAAGCCATTCAGTCAAGGACTACAGTACATATTTAAAATGACAATTGTTACACTCACGACATTGATATGAAATTTATTTAAACAAACCAGAGACGCTGCCATTAAATACCAATAAATACCGTTGTATATTTTGCAATGCACATTTCCATGAAGAAATCCGAAAATTAATCCGACGCTTAAAAGCCAAATAAATTTCGTGTGCACCAAAATCTGGTCACTGTTTTCTTTTTTTCTCTTCAAATTGACATGTGTACATCAATGAAGCGCGTTTTGGTTCCGGTGCTTCTTCTTCTAAGTGTCTACAGCTCCAACTCAATCACACAAGTGTCAATACGACGTTTGAAGAAGAAGAACCATATTTCGTGCAAACGCAACCCATAAATAACATAAGCATTTCATTCCCACCACATGGCCTTTTCTACATATGGGCCATATGATATGACCGTGTTAATGGTAGAGAGAAAAATTTCTTCATTCGTCAAATCATCAACTTTTACGTGTCAAAACATTTCCGTTCAAAGTAGATTGATTAATTGATAAATTATTGGTGCAAAATGTAAATCACACCAAACGATTGATCGTGAATTTGATTCTATCGACAATTTAACATAATTCGATTGCAACATGTTTTATTCCTGTGCTCAATGTTATTGTGCAATGTTTGGCTTTGTGCAAAAATCTATGCAACACTCTATTCTAAATCTTAGTTAATGTTTATCAAATCAAATCATTTCTTTAGTTGTTATTTAGAAGAAGAAAAAAAGTTTTCTTTTGTCGTCAAATTTATCTATGAATCGTATCGTTTAAGTAGTTAAACAAAAACATAATCGACCATAAAATAAAGATAAATCGCTAAGAGATCCGAATACAGAATTTTACAATGTATGTATATTTAAGCACACAGTAAAGAAAATGATTCGTATATATATATATATATATATATTTTTTTTTTTTTTTGGTTCGGGTGAAATCGATGAAAGGATCGAAGAAATCGCGCCCTAAATTAGAATTACATAACAAAACATAGCAAAAAAAATTAAGTGGTGAACTGAGCACGGAGTCCACGAACTCAAACACAAATTCACCAATCTGATGATATTGATGTGTTTTCTTTATTTAGTTTTCAATTTTAGGCGTAATGATATGTTTTTAGAGTGTTTCACATCATTATTTTATTTTAATTTTTTTGTTTTATGATAATATGATTTCCTTTCTCTTCTTCTCTTTTTTGTAATTGTAATTAAAAGAAAAAAATCTTTTTTTTTGAAGCATAAATTGATACAAACATAATGAATGTATTGGACAGGCGAGTGATTGTTGGCATATGATTAATATTGTTATTTAATCCAGCATACAGCCTTTTTTCACTCGTCGCCAATTACAATCTAATGGATAATAAACCAAATACGAAATTAATTAGTCGCCTTTTTTCGTTTTTTTTTGTTTATATTTCTATTTATTTACTTTTTTTGTCTAGGATTTTATTTTACAGTTTGAGTTGGGTATATTAGATCTTCGGAAAGCACATAAAAAGAGCCGTTGAACTTAAAATTATCACCGACCGATAAGGACTGTCGAATTTTTGTCTTCTCAACGTTTTCTTGTTTTAATTCAAATAATAAAAAGACACATAGACTAAAGGTGTAAACGAGAAATGTCATAGACTCGACATTTTTATGATCCTTTTTTTATATTTTTATTTCTTCAGAAACATGTTCAAATTAAATGACATCCATTATCTTTGTGATTGAGTTTTGTGCTCGAAACTTATGAATAGAGTAAAAGTAGTAAATTTTCATGTCATTTTCATTCTGGAAAGAAATTGCTTTTTCGCAGAGACTGTTTCTGAGAGCAATATATGTGAGGAGGCGTGTTCTGAGGAGCATAATAATATTATCAATTTTGAATAATTTTTTTTTACCTTTAATATTTTGCTCCTCAGTGCTCCTCCAGCTCCTTAGAGTGCTCCTCCCCACATATATTGCTCGAAGAATCAGTTTCTGCTTTTTTGAAAGTGAAGGCCATCAAAGGCGTTTGAGTGATCACTGATTTACATTTGAGCGCAACGCATGTTTTCTTCTTCTTCTTGTGTACGATCGAATTTTGATTATTAAACTTGTGCAATTAATTATATTTGATTTATGTTGTATATGTGGCGTTCTTGATTATATATTTGTGTAAATTCCTATTAATTATTCATGCCCATTATTTGGAGGTGTTTGTTCATTGTATCATGTCGGAAATGCTGAGAAAATTATTGAATACGTGTTAAATTCTTCTCTAGAAAAGATCTTGAACATCGAGCGGCAAATGACGATGCGATGTCTCCGTATTAAAATTTTATGTCACAGTCATCGGACAAAATACTTGGAATTGCGTTCCAACTGGCAATTGGCAGGCATTTTGTAATTATTAGCCACGCATTCGTTGAGATTAAAGATCTATTATGTTAAATTAGTGTAATAAATTATTATTATGTGTAAAGTATGAGAAGTTCACCTTGTCTAGTATACATTAAGGGCTGCGCAAACAGCATGGATATCGTATGCCAAGCATACTTTGCTGACACACACACAAACATGTTCACAGTGCTCATCATCACAAAACTGTAACGAATGTTTCAATGTAAAATGGTTTATAACACACACACAACACTACACAGAAATTGTATGGAAGTCAATTTAAGACCAGCAACAAATCTTTTATATACAGCATTTCCCCGAAAAAATTAATTAGAAAGAAAATAAAGTGGCATGTAAAGAGGAAAATAGAAAAGAATTTCATTTATATATTGAGATTCTTCGATTGTTCAGTTTCGCGGCATATTTGATACATTTATATACAATGAAATATTAAAAATTTAAAATCAGACCAATTTTGGAGTGAATTAGATGAAATGCAGAACCAGATTTTTTCCCTTTCGTTTGAAATAAATAAGAGAACCGAAACACCGATTATGTGAATGAAAGAAATAAAAAAAAAATGAAAAATTAATATAAAAAAAATGTTAATGACAATTTGAGAAATACTTATACAATACCTCCACACTGTAGATGCCTTAAACACAGTGCCTATTTTAAAAAAAGACCGACACGAAAAAAAATGAAGAAAAAAAAAAATACATAAATGAATGAAAAAGAACAAAGAATTTTTTTCGAGAACAAAACAAAATCATGGGAAATTAGTTTCACAATAGACAAGAAGGAAAAACGCGAAAAATTATTGCATTTACAACATTTGAGCTATGATCGACATATAAAACAAATTTATAGAGAAAATAAACCGTGACACACCAAATTCAAAGGAAAAACAAGATACGACTGGCTAGTTTTTTTTTGTTGGCAAATTAGGTATTGCACAGAATCATAGCTTCTGAGCAGGGGTCCGAGGGGTTGGATTACCCCCCCCCCCACCCCCCTCCTGGAGAACAGATTTGGGAATAGCCCCCAATAATTTTGAGAAAAATATTCTTTCGATTTGCTAAGGATTTTCGCGAAAAATGTGAAGACCTTTTCTTTTTTTTTGACAGAATCCATTTTCAAATAGAATTTTTTAAGGCAAAACTACAAACCAAATATTCATAGTACATGTGCGCCCTGTTTGAGAATAATCAGGCATAGTTCTGAATCGGAAAACCGCCCATATTTTTTAAGCCCATATAGGTGATCGATGGAGTCTAAGCCCGTGTTTCAATAACAAAAGCAATCATTAATTGAAGCTAAGCTTAGATATTTTTGGGTAAGCTAACTGAGTGGTGGATATCGAAAAAATGTACGGCTTTAGTTCTTCGTTATGCTTGATTACCGCAGCGTATACTGCTCACACATCCAATCAATCACACGATCACGATGTTCTGGATAGGAAACATGTAGATTGAAATACCATATCGTCTACTAGACACAACAAACAAAGTTGATATGGCTGATAATATCTATATGGCAGATAGTACTACCTTTAAAATGATTGAACAAAATGGAAAAACAACCGAAAACTATTGATCACACAAAATAAACCACAAAGAATATTCTTTAGAGTATTTGAAAGGCACACAGGCACACATCTCTAAGCTTTCACATAGAACTCCTGTATTCTCAATTGCACATACACGTCGACACCCAAAATATAATTAAAATACAAGAGATATTATTAAACAATTAGAGAAAAATCTATAAATGGTGATTTGCAAACAAAGCATTCAGGACAAATTTATCGAAATCATTCAAACTGTGATGTGTATAGTTTGTTTTGAATGTAAAGCGTTCACAATGTTTACACACGCCAACTCCCCCTGCCACTGAGTTAAAAGTGAGTGCAGAAGAAGAGTGTACATGAAATAAAGTGAAAAATAAAATTCAATCAATTTATAAAGTATATTGATGACTGAGAAAATAGAAACGTTACAAAACAACAACAAAAAAAATTGTGCACCATTTATATGTATACAGATATTTTTTTTTGTTCTTCATTTTCGTCTTGCGCGATTAAAATGTGAATTGATTGTGTGTCGCATGACTTATTATACTATTAAAATACACACTCTTACACACGTAATGTGATGTTACATATGTACCTTTGCACAAAAAAAACAGAATTTCATAAACACAAAACATATATTTCGTATTATTAAATAATGTAAATGTCCAAGAAAAAAAAAACACACACACAAACAAAATGCATATAGCATGATGTATTATAAATATATGCGAAAATCGCTCGCAATCAGATCGTCGTTTGAATATAAACAATTTTGTCCGTCAACGTTTTTTTTTTCTTTCTCTTGTGTTAAATGATGTATTTATTAAAAGAAAAAAAAATATGAAAAAAAAAAACACATTTTAAGTGCTTCTCTGTGAGCGAATGAATATTGGAAATGTAATAAGTTTGTTTGATATTGTGGTCCAGAGAGAAAATAATTACCAAAGAAGAAAAATACTTGGTTGGAAATCGTCTCTTTTAAGAGGCATTAACAAGGAATGCAAGTCAAGTGAAGTGCTTATTAGATAGGTATATACAATGTTTTGAGAAAGAAAAAAAGTTTGTTTTAATCTGGCCAGTGTGCCAAAAGTGAAAACATACATACACACACATCATTTAAAAAAACGATATATGTTGTTATGTTTTGTAATTTGGACGGGGAAATTAGCTTTAACTGATTGATGTGGTGTAAATGAATGTGTTTTTATCACATTTCAAAACCTTTCTTTTCAAAGTACACACAAAATCCATTCTTTTTGTCAACAAAGTGGCCAAAATAATGGAGAAAATTCATTTTCTCACATAATGTTATGCAATTTGTTTTTTAAACATAAAAAAAATGTTGCACCAAAAATTATTTGAGAAAAGTGTCAATATTGCATTCTATATTTTAAGAAGTATCGCGATTGTGGTCTATTTTTGTTTTATTTGTGTGCATTTTCTGTTTGATTCGTTAAAAATTTTCTCGCTGAGAAAGATGAGAACAAACAAATTAACATATATATTTATGCAAAATACTTATGACAATGTTCCAATGTTGAATAATTCAATTAAAATAAAAACAAATCCATTTATTTACAAAAAAAAAAATAACAAAACAATTTAGTTTCGTACAAAAAAAAAAGAAGATGAAAAAAAAATGGGAGACCGGTCAATTATTACCGTGGACAAAAAAAAATTATTCTCAACTTGAGTTCTACCAATGTAACAATGTTAGGTGGATACAAAAGGATTAACACATATTTTTAGCACATAATTAACATGAAAATATGATTTATGTAAGTCGAAACTAATTTGTGAAATATTGTGGTAAACAAACAAACAAACAAAACATACATACACACACCTTATTAACGGATTCTTCTGATTTTTATTATTATCCTCATGTTATGTGGATTATTTACAAATCGATATGATTTCATTGTTTGACTCTCTGAATAAATAGTGTTTGAATAGCAAATGATGAAAACAATTTCAATGGATATATATATATACAATATATTGAGTGATTGTGTGGTTTCAATTAAAATGGACAGACCAAATCAGTGGCGAACGACATATATTCATTCAACCATCTATTTTACTAACACATGCACCATGGTATAATGTTTATTAATTATTATTATCTCACGACCAAGTATAGCGAAATGATGGGTTAAAGTCATGATCATTTTGATTGAAAACCAACCAACTAACGCAAAAAAAACACATACACTTAGAAAGAAAATATTTCGCGATGATTTACGGAAATGAACGTTAAGTTAATTAACACACTTATTACTTATCAGATGAAAAAAAAAATGACAAAAATAACAAACAAATTATTATTTTATGATAAAAATACACTATATGAATAAAGTCAATGAAAACAAAAATATATGTAAAATATTGCATTCTTTTTCTTTAAACTATTTGGAGATAATTTGAATTTTTAGCACTTTGAAAATGGCAATTCTAATGCAGAGCTCTTCTAATTGCTGATCTTTTTACCATTTCTTCTTCAAAACAAATACAATATTTCAAATTAGAATTTTCGAGCTTTTACAGAACGCATCCATTCACGATCTTATTCAGCATGACATCACATAGCGCTGATGAGAATGCAGGTAATAGCCATTCAAACAAACAATCAACTGCTAACATCTGAATTGATCTATTAACATTTCCGAAAATATTCTATGAAAAATCGAATCTGTGGTTTTTCAAGTCATTTTGATGAATCAATATGTTGATACGATAGATAAAGCTAGATGTTATTTATTGAGTACTAACAACCTGAAATTTACGTCCATCCATAGCATACATGAGCACTGCCATGTCGGAGCCGCCGATAAAAAAAACCAAAAAATCGAAAGAATAACCAATGGTCACCTGGGGGTAGATTGGACCAATAACAGAATATGTAACCTCCTACCAATCCACATCCATCATCATCTTTTAGATTTTTCGCTCGAAGATTTATCAGAACTTGTCAGAACCAAATTTGCCTTAAGCCATGGCCAAAATTTTAAAAATGGAGGAATTAAATGTAGCAGCAAATACCTTGTTTGATACACTATGTATAACCAAGCCGAAAACGATTTTCAAGCTGATGATTCGTTGAATAAATTTATGTGCTAAATTTGTGATAAGCTTATTAATAAGAAATGTTCGGATTATTTATATTTTTTAACGTATTGTATGAATATTTGAACAATTTGCAACAATCTGAATGACTATTAAATTACAGCTGATTACTTTACATGTTGTCATCAAAAGGTAAAACTGAATATATATTTATATATAAGTCTTTTTTCATAACATCTCTATAATTGGTGACACACTGGTCTTTACCGAAATGGTCTAATACTGAAATTAGCGCTATAAATGAAATTTACATTTAGTTACTTACACATTCTCGTTAAGAGAGAATTACCAAAATGCTGATGAAATTTCTAGTATAAAATTATGAATCAATCGAACATCATTTCGTCAATGTTGAATACGTATTGCAATCGCCACCTTATAAGAGAATTCTTTATGATCCAATTTTAATACTTGCCTATTAAGAGTTTTTACCAGTTGTGTGCTTGAATTCGTGATAAGCTTTTTAATAAAAAAATTTACTCCAAACCAGAGCATCTTGATTTGCTGCTGCTCAGCATATAGCTGAGAGCTGAGAAATGCTGAACTCGTGCGGCTAACGCATACGAAACGGATGGCACGCACACATGCATTCTCCCCGTTTAAACGGTTATAAACAGTTGATTGCCGTTTTTGCGACGTGCTGTTTTTGCTCTCAGTCTTTCATATATTCTGAAAGTGTACGTCTAACGCATACGAAACGGATGCACGATACATATTCCCCTTTCACTTCGTATGTTCGCTGGTATAGTGTGTAACCATTGTACCGGCAATAGCGTCAACGGCAGCACATACGAAGCGAAAGGGGAATATGTATCGTGCATCCGTTTCGTATGCGTTAGCCGCACGAGCTCAGCATTTCTCAGCTCTCAGCTATATGCTGAGCAGCAGCAAATCAGGATACTCTGCTCCAAACAGTCACCTCAACAAAAAAAATTATAAAAAAAACTAAAATTCCGATTAAATATGCAGTTCTACTATTCCAAATAGTGCGATTTTAGCATATATTTTGTTGCTTTTACAATACACTTATTTATATTAATTAGTGGCCGTAATTCATTTTTGTGCCAAACCAAATTCATTTGATTTGTTTATCGCATAAATTCATTTCGTTCCATGTGTGATAATTCCATAAATGATTTTCATTCAAATAAATGTATTTCTGTACATTATTTCAAGCGAATATAATCCATAATATTGGACTATAATACTCTTTTTAGTTCTTTTTAAATGATTTTCCATAGAATACATATACATACATTCTTTTATATCTCATCGATAGAACAAAACTCATACTCAAGTTCGTAACTGATTAAGCTAGCCACAGAATAAACCAATACCAATACAATGACCAATACATACACACAGATAAGTGTCAAAATCAAAGTAAACAAATAGCCAACTTCATCACTATAGCTCTTGACCGATGTCGATTGTTTTGATTAAATCACAGCAACATCGGGTTTCTGTAATCAATGTATAATTAGAAGTGGACGTGAAGTGTTGGAAATTTCTGTTTCATTTAGTTACATTTTAGTTAATGTTCAATACAATGCTGCAAATGAAATATATTTTTATTTTTTTGGCATTCACTTCAACGGTGTTTGGAGCGTATGTTATTGACAGTGGAAGGCGTAGAGGTATCAATGACATTGATGTGGAGGGTGAATGTTCAAGCCTCACGGCGGAGCTAATTGAAGAAATTAAAGCATATCAACCGATTGTCGATGAAATAACAAATGCCATTGTGAATGGAAAATTTTCTGGTGATACCTGGAATGCGTAAGTTCGATTTGATCATACATTATTTGTAACTTCATGTTAAATTTCTTTCAGTTTGGCTGAAATGACGGACAAATTTGGTGCCAGAATGACAGGTTCAAAGAGTTTAGAAAATGCAATCGATTACATGGTTGATGAGTTGAAAAAAGCTGGTTTAGATAACGTGCATACGGAGAATGCTACTGTGCCGCACTGGGAACGTGGCTATGAAAATTGTCAAATGGTGTCACCCCGACAGGCAAAAATTAATATTTGCGGTTTTGGGTTCACTGTTGGCACATTAAGGGGCGGTTTAATTGCTGATGTTGTTGTTGTCGAGAGTTTTGAGGAATTTGATAAATTGCCCGAGGCGACTGTTAATGGAAAAATCGTTTTATTTGTGCCAGAATGGCAGGGCTATGGTAAAACTGTTGTGTATCGTTCGCGAGCCGCGTCAGTAGCATCGAAAAAAGGGGCGGTTGCGGCTTTGGTGCGATCGATTACACCATATTCAATCGGATCACTTCACACAGGTGAATAAACTATATTTCATTAGTCCGAAGAAGTAAAAAAGACGTGAAAAAAATACGGCGCGTATATGAGTTCCATGCTAGATATGAAATGATGGAAACGTTCTCTTACACAAGTAGTACCCAAACTTGTTTCTTTTTATATTTGATGTCCGATAAATGTTTGTTACAAAAACTTCACTTGATGAATCCAATATAAGTTTTGGAGCTGGATAGGTATCGCGGAGGTGCGGGCTCTTTTCTTATATGTGTCGCTCATTCTTGTGTTCAGGTGCAACACATAAAAAATTATATGGACTAGGCGCATGCACTCACTTGTGATCACACTTCCACGTTACCAATAACAGCTCTGATGAAGTTTTATATGTATTTTTGAATTGAATTTGACAGGTATGCAACGGTACGCAGACGATGTACAGAAGAAAATTCCAGTCGCAGCCGTTACCGTCGAAGATGCATATTCAATGCTACGTATGTATCGACGTGGTGAAAAGATCACATTACACCTAGAAATGGAAGATAAGAATTTGGGCGATTTTGTTTCACGCAATACAATCGCTGAGTTGGCTGGCGAAAGCAGCACGCCAGTTGTAGTTGTTTCTGGTCACTTGGATAGGTAAAGTTCTTTAAGAATAACTTTGTTTGCTTTTAATTTTTTTCTACACCGAAATGCCATTTTGAATCAGTTGGGATATAGGCGTTGGCGCCATGGACGATGGTGGGGGTGCATTTATTGCGTGGAAAGCATTGCACTTATTGAAACGGCTAAATGTGAAACCACCAAAGAGAACAATTCGTGCTATTTTGTGGACAGGCGAAGAACAGGGAATTGTTGGAGCAGCCGAATATGAAAAACAACATAAATCACGGGAAAAAGAAGAATTCAATTTTTTCATCGAAAGTGATATGGGAACTTTCACGCCCCTTGGATTAGGTATGTGATGTGCAAATGAATGTGATAAGCAACAGATACAACCAGAGCATATATTAAGCATACATATATATCCTGGATATTTTGTCAGCCAGACTTTGAAATAGAGTAAAAACAATAGAAGTTATTGTTATAGTGATTGTAGTAATGTAAATGGTTTTATACTTAGACCTATAACAATCACTTCTATTGTTTTCACTCCATTATAATGTCTGGCTGCGATAAATATCGGATACTCACAAAATCCCGGATATATATCTATGCTCAGTATATGCTCTGGATACAACTGCATCAATTACAGCATACTTATGTTTATTTTCCAGATTTCAGTGGAAACAAGGAAGCTGAGTGCATTTTTAAGGAAGTTTTAAAACTTATGGCTCCGTTAAATGCCACCCAATTCAATTCACCAATTGACGCTGGCCCCGATATAGAACAATGGTCAACTCGTGGATTCCCAGCTGCAAGTCTTCTAAACAAGAATGAAAAATATTTTTACTACCATCACTCGGCCGGCGACAGTATGCTGGTAGAAAATTCAGACGATCTAGATAAAAATACCGCTCTATTTGCTGCTGCGGCATATGTCATTGCCGATTTAAGTGTTGACATGCCAAAAGATATTAAAGATTAAATTCTTGACAATAAACGATTGACTTTTTTTCAAAATCTTTATTTCTTGTAAAAAAAGAGAGCTATAAAATATGTTTTTCGTAAATAAAAAAAAAGATAGATAAAATTTGTATTGTTTTGGTTAACATTGATGAAATAATGTTATTAAAAATAAAACCAAAACTACAGTACAGAACAGTATGTAAAAAACTGTATAGAAAATATTTAAAAATTGTTCATGAGCTTTGCGTTTTCAAACGAAATGATGCTGTTGAAATGGTATTGTTTGTCCAAATCATTGATGGAAACATCTCTGGTGAATGAGGTTGATTGCTTCAAATATTGGCCATGACCACGGAGTTGTACGTCCATTATTTCGTCCTTGAACTCTTTTAAATGTGAAAAATCTCCTACTTTTTCTCTGCTTTCTAATTGAATGGCCCAAAGTGTGTACGGGCTTAGGAAAAAGTCACCATCTTTAATTTTCTTATATACTTCATTTGTATACTCTGGATCGCCGGTTGGATTTTTCTTTATCGAATAAAGGAAGTCAATGTTATTATCAATAATTGACATGCAATATGAACGCTGACCACATTGATAGAACATGTTATCAACCATTCTCATTTTAACATTAAAATATTTTAATTTTGCATCCATATCGGTTTGTTTTGTTTCGTTTTTCAATTTGAAATCGATCGCGATTTCTTTGAATTTAACCGCATTTTCATGAATTCCTTTCGCAATGTCGGCTCTAACAAATATCTCTAGTCCTTCAAATAATTTGATTAGATTCTCCTTAATGTCATAATAATGCCAAGTATAAAAAGTTGTTGATTCGGATGTCACAATGTCGCAATCATATTTTCCTAAGATCACTTTTGAATTGTGTAAATCCTTTGCTAGTGATTCAATTTGTGCGATTGCTTTATCCTTCAATAATTCAGTATCGTTATAATGGAGATTTTCAGGCAATTCAAATCGCGACAAATATTCCTGAGCGAATGGAAATTTGTGCTGTTTAAATACATTTATGGCAATTTCATAATATTCCAAAACACGATTGGTTTCAATCATTTTTTCTAACTCTAAAATGGCTTCTTTCCCTTGTTCATTACTTGGATGACAGTAATTTGATGACGAAAGGTTTGCAATATAATTGGCAAGTTCCACTTTGTCGGCATATGCATCAATGCGATCGTATACACTAACCATGATTGACGTTCCTTCATTCAGTTTCTCAAAGCAACGCTGTAAATCCTGACCAACATCCATGCCCGACAACATTTTCTGTAAATGCGACATTACGTCTTTGATAAGGTCTTCAATGCGCCATTTACTTATATCCAATATAAATCCATGTGAGTTACACGATAAATTTATGTGTACATCAAGTATGCTTTTTCGAATTTGGTACACTTGCTCAACGATTGCTTTTCCCATATTCTGTCCGATTTTATCTAGGTTGTTCAATTTGTCTATTAAATCGTCGGATAATGTTGCATGTGTTCTGGGCGTATCGCTACGCTCAGTTTGATCGTTTAGAATATCTCGTGCTATATCCAATTTTATTATTTTCTTGCTGGAATGATGATCCTTATTTTTCTGCGCCTGTTGCTTTTCGACATTTATCATCAATTGTAATTCTTCTTTTACTTTACTTATTTCAGTCAGATCATACGGAGCATCCGACTTTTCTTTATTTTCCATGTATTCTTTTATTTTTGTTTTGGTTTCGGAAATTATTTTTTTTATTAATTTCATTCCATCTCCATCAAAATATTTGCGGAGTGTTTCTTCGATGTTTTCGAGTTTTTTATTGAAATGGTTTAATTGTTGTTTAACAAGATCAACTATTTCATTGTACGATCCAAAAACTGCAGAAAATAATGTAAATGCTTCTGTGTTGTGTCCATGACCGGAGGTTCCATTATAATGCAAATTTGATAAATTGGTAGGTATTTTATTATTTTTCACTGAAAATAAACACAGATTAATTCGATAGCCGATTTAAATTGTTTGCATAGAAAAAATTACCGATTACTGCTCCAAAGATTTGTGTAAAAAGTCCAACAAAAATACTAGCGACACTAAGAAAAACTGCCAATGAGCCGAACACTTTAAGCCAAAATAAAAGTTTTTTCTTGGCCAACGATTGCATTAGTTGTTTTTTAATGTCCGCTTCTTTTATTCCCATTACTTCGCCTACTAATTTTGATATTTCTTCATTAGTGTCGTTGAAAATTTTATTTATTTCTGGCATCACTTGATATTCAATTAAACCTTTAGCTAATTCCATTTTACTATGCAATGAGCGATTGAATTGTTTTTGATATTTTCTGATGGAAGCATCTCTTTCCAGTTTTTTCAAATCCTTGATCTTACTTCTCATTAATTCCAAATATTTTGGTAGATCGAAAACAGTATGCTTTGTGTCGTTTTGAATGCTACACAATTTGCCCAAGGTTGCAGTGCATAAAAAGTTAAGCAACTTTTTTTCTGTCAACATAATGTATTTTGAGCCCGAATATTTATTAATTCGTGCCAGAAGAGATTTTACAAATGGAACAAATGAGAGCCTATTGCGTAGCTTGAAATACTGCTTTTCTATTCCAAGCAATTCATTAACAAATCCAAGACAATCATACTCCATTTGGATCTTCTCATTTTTATCTAGATCATTTAACAATTCTCGTAGTGCCGATTCCTGAATGTTGTTGGCTAAATTTTCTCGAACATACTCTTTATAACTGTTTATTGTATGACTTTTATTAACAAAAGAGTCGGGTTCTTCGGGTTGCATTTGAATTATGCAATCGGAACCTTTCCTTCCATCTGAAGCACGTTGAACTTCTTCTCCATCTTCTTTCGTATGTTCAATATTAACTGCACCAACAATTAGAAAAAGACACTTGGCTTTTATCATTTTTCCACTCTTCGTTCCTTTGCCGCCTCGGCCACCTGACAAACGAAATTGAAAGGAAAAAGAAATTGAAAGGAATGGACAAGGACGTCATTATCGTCATTATGTCGTTACCTGAGCCATCTATGCCAGCATCACCTTGATGTCATTAATTTCGATGATGGTTGAATACATAAAATGATTGAAAATCCTTAAGTGAATCAACTTCGGTGTTTCATCAACTAATCTATATTACCTTGATTCGTGCTTATTACAAAATGTGATCTCTTCTTTAGTTCACCAATAAAATTCTGTCCAGATTTGCCTCCAATGCCACCTACTCCACCGTTGCCTCCGGCTGATGGTTTTTTGGCATTGCCTCCTTCGATATCATAATCAACCGTTAGAAAAGGTGGTATTTTTGATACACCAAGACTAGTTCTCCTACAATTGAACGTATCGAAAGGTTGACCAAACCAATGAAAGCCCGGTTCAGGTGGTGTTTCTCCTTCTTCTCCGTCTTTTCCTATATATGGAAACAATAATTTCAAATGTATATCTATGTTATATATATCTGCGCAGCATCCGGTATTTTAAATATTTACGTACCATTTCCACCATTTTGACCGGCACCACCCTTACCGCCGTCAATGTAAATCTTCAAATTTCGACCATCGATGAATTCATTGCCAATGGCCAAGATATGACCGGCAGGGCCACCAGGTAGTCCAGGCAGTCCATGGGATCCACCACCCTTGGTACCATCATCATCGTTTGCTTCCAACTCAGAATGTGGCTTTCCATCGTAGCCGCTTAGAATAATTTTTCGTTGATCAATTATAATCCATTTGGGTGCAATAAGTGATAGTTCAACTTTTAAACCCTTTTTATCAACATCACTGTCGATAAAAAGATTATTTAGCGCAAATACTTTAATGTATTTAACGTCAAATTTACTGAATTGATTAACAGCATGCACAATATCGCATATTTTTACATTATATCCTTTTGCAATAAATGTATTGTTCGATAAACATGTTATCACTTCCTGTGTGGTTTGCTTCAAAACTTTTATCAAAGCATTCACTTTATATGCGTTCAGTCGTACATTCTCAATCGACGAATAGAGACTGCTGCATTCAAAATCATTCAAAAGTTTATGTAGATTCAAAGCTGCGACGTTAGTTTCTCCATTTTCTTCAAATATCAATTGGTCTATCAATTGAATTTGACTGCTCAATGAATCTTTGATATGAGGAAGTTGTTTTTGTACTCGATACTTGGAGAATTCGTCATGTAAATTAATTAAAAATTGATACCATTTTTGAGAGTCCTCGAGGTATTGCATCGTATTGTTAAGTCCGGTTTTAATATCAAACAATATCGACAAATTGATATTGCTGACCGCTTTTATAAAATCAATATATTCAACATCTTGCCAAATTTTATTGGAACCATTGTACGATACGCCAATTGCCAATTCATTTGCCGTATTAATAATTATGTCAACAAACGTTTTTGGTTCGGTTGATTGAATTTCCGTCAATTTTCGGTAGCCACTTGAGATTCTTTCTTTTAAAACTTTTAGATCGGCGATATATTTCTCTTGTTGCATATAAAATTGTTTGATTTCAGTTCCAATGCCCGATAAATCATCCTTGAAACGTGTTTGGATCTCTTCCATAATGCCAGTGATGCGATTTTTCGATTTATCTGATATTGTATAGCGAAAATCGGTATTTTCCTTTTCAATGTATTTAATATTATTTTGAATCATTTCCTGAATTTTTCGTTTTGCATCTTGCAGCATTTGAATTTTGTCAACGGATCCGCTTTCTTCTGCAAGCCGCATAATACTTATTCTTTCATATCCATTTCCATTATTCGTTTTCAATAAAGTATCGATGAAGCGAATGATGTTGTTTTTATCTTCATTTGACGTATTCTTTTTGGTAGCATTCGTTTCCAAAGCGATTTTTGCCTGTTTCAAGAACCTAGCTATTGTGTCAATTACTTTTTCATCATCGACCAAAACAAAATCACCATTTTTTTTTATACGTTTATTCTCCACTTTGGTCACAACCAATGCAATTGCATCTTGATATTTTTCAATATTTTTGGCAAATGTGATTGCATGTTCAGCTAAATTCAAAAAATCATGTCGATCGCCACTACCAGGCCGTACTGATTCAGAATTTACGACAAACACAAGCTTCAAACGATTGGCACGTTTGATTATTTCTTGAATCAAATAGGTAACACATATATCGTGGTCAATATCCCTTGTGTCATTGAAACCGGGACAGTCGTATAGCACCATTTGATTGGTCTGGTTAAGCATTAATGCGGGAATGATTGTCTTTGATGTTATTGTAGATTCTCCGCTGATCAGTCCATTTTCATCTTCGATTATCCATTGGCCTGATTCGGTGTCGATCTCTCTTGAGTTGAGATTAGCATCGCTTAATATGGAAGTTAGAGTGGATTTACCAGCACCAGTGTTTCCAAGCACCAAAACAATATCTTTTTTATCACTAAAACGAAGCTGTTGTGCATATTCGCTCATTAATTTTAATATCATTGTCACAGAATCGTGATTTTCGTTGTTAATTTTCGATTCACCGGAATCGGCCGATTGTTCTTTCGATAAAACACACATTTTGGTTATACGTTTTAATTATTTCTCTATTTTTGTACAAAACTTAACTTTCTTAAACATCTTAGACTTTTTCTACATTCAATTTTTAAAAATGGCTACTGGCAAATTCTCTTCAATCACAACAATATGTGTACATCTGTCTTATGTGTTTGAGATGAAAAAATACACACGTACATGTGGATTATGACGTTTACACATACATCATGTAGTATATGCGTGAATTCACCTGTGTTAGTGGTAGCATCACTACTGACATTTTTCTTTTCTTGAACGCTTCCATGTGTTTTTTGTTGATATTTTTCTTAGATTGAATGTTTTTTAAGCAAATTTTTTAAATTTAGTAAATGTTTCTTTTTTTTTTTTGTTGAATTAAAAAATGTCCAATCACAAGTTATAAATAACATTAATATCGAATTGATCAATAAAATAAGAATTAATAAGAAATGATGATATTTTTCTTTTTTATTACTCTTTTTTCATTGATATAACGGTCTTTTGGAACAGAAGTCTAAGACCAAGTCTGTTCATATTATTGACGCAATATATATTGAACAAACCAAAGTAGATGGAAAAGAAGTGCTCTATGAGTTTTAAAGAGTAAGACTGTAAATTTTATTATTTGGCAGCCGGTCACCATGGTTCATGCATGAACTACAAGTTGATTTTTACTTACCAATTACTTTATTAAGTCCGAAAAATACCTACTAATTGATTAACGTACCCAAGAGATGAAAAGGATGATGGTGGATTAAATCAGTGATTTTCAGTTGGATGCTCAGTATCAACTTTTGCGTTGCTTAATTTGCTCAGCCAAATTCTCAGCTATCCTATGGATACTGAGCGTCCAATTGAAAACCACTGGATTGAATAAAAACTGATTCCGTTCCCAAAGGAACTTTCGTCTAAAAGTTCTCAAACGCCGTTCACTCTTTAAAATTTCCTTCTCCACTATCTTAAATGATCGTTAGTATAGTCTTGAATTTCATATAGAATCGATCTGAATCCTATCATCATATAAGGTTTATATGGCTACATCTCAAACAAAAACACATTACAAAAGTAATTTTATGGAAACTTGATCTAAATATGTAATTAATTAAACTATGGCGCTTCATTTGACTATTTATCAACAAAAAATTGAAGAAGAAAAAATGATAAAAATCGACGCTTATTTTTCATCAAAAAAATCGCCTAAAATATGTAAATTAAATAATCGCAGACGAAGTCGTGTTGTTTGTAATGTTTTCATTTATTTTGATATAAGATTTGGTATTTGGCTAATTGCAAAAAACTGAAAATAGCCACTGATTTCGTTCGATGAATGGCATCGATACTATTTCGGCAATTAAATTTTGTTTTTGTTCATAAGATAGTGTGCGATATTCTCATAGGTAATAAATGTAATGACTGTGGCCGGTGTGACTCGTAAAATATTAACGCCCAATCCTTTATAGAAACCGCGCCAAGATTCGAATCTACAACGGACAAAGAAAACATCAATCTTTTAAATTACATATATTTTTGTATGTTTTTCTTATGTTGATAAGACAAAAGGAATTAAAAAAAATAAAACTAAAAAAGGAACACAAGAATAGGCGTTCGTCGAAGATCTTGATCGTATACAAAAAGCAAAAAAAAAAATCGTCGAAATTAAATGATTAAATAAAGTTTACAACACATATAGAAAAACATCATTGTTCATTTTATTTTCGCGATACCCTTCAAATTTTACTTCTTATTCATCATCAAATATTATACGATCGACATTCATTTTAAACTCCTTTTCTCTCTAATTTTGTTCTTCCTATATGTTTTTTTTTATTTTTGCATTCGCTCTTCATGTTTTTTTAACATTTAAAATGTTGCAAAAAAATCATCATTCTAAAATGGCTATTATTTACACAATACACATAAAAAGGAATAATAATTCATCTTATGCTAAATTTGTGTCGCAGATTCGTTGTTTTGTTTCGTTCTTAAATACAATCATTTTTCTTTATTTTCAAACAATTTTCTACCAATTTAACAAACACTTTGCTTAACATCAAAATTATCGGTATTATAGTGTATCGAAAGAAATAAATTTACATTACATATTGCATACATTTGAACACCAATTTGAAATATATAAAAAAAGTTCTCTATTTTCATTTCTTCAATTCTGGCTGTTTCTTCCACTCTTTTCTTCAATGATGCAAAATTCATAAAACGCGCGCGCATTTTGTTTAATTGACATAAAACATTTTCTTTTTTTATTGATACATATAAATAATATCAGTGTTTCGAGCAATTTCTCAAACGGAAAAATACTAAACTACTCATGTCCCAAATAAATAATTTTCTCTAATCATACATAAATGATTGGATGGGTGTATGTTTGTGTATGTGTGTCTATGTTTTTCTTAAGTGTTTTTTTGTTTTGTTTTTGTAATCAGTCGAGTTTTGCAGCCAATTACAATACATTCCGTATTTCAAGCATACATCGTTAATGCAAATTTTAAATAGATTGTATTTTGAACAAAAAATGTCGAATCTTATACTTTTTTCTTTTGTGAGAATAAGGAAAAAACCATTTTTGAATTGATAATATTTGAACAAAAAAAAGGAAATATGGAAAGAAGGCAAAAAAAATTAATGAAAAAAAAAATCGATAAATATTTTATGTATTGAAACATTGAATTTGGCTATAGCAATAAATAAATTCCACCTCCTTGTTTGCTTAGTTCATATATTGTTCGCATTTATGTCTTTTATTTTCTCTCCGTCGAGTGAATTTTGTGTGCGTGTATGTTTGTTTTATCAAGTGTTGGCGAATTTTTCATAAATTATCATCACTAAACAAATATTGGGCATGACATGTAGTAAATATGGCGCTAAACCTTTATAAAAGCCAGGCATTCGCTCATACCTCCATGTCTGCCTTATACAATCCCATGTGCCCGCATACGTATGATGATGGTCTTGCATCCGTGCCCGAACTACTTGATATGGATATGTGACAGCAGCTGCTATCAACTTAGATATTGCTGCAAATGCTAAATACTCGGTTGTCCCCTGTCGGAATAAAAAAAATTGTTACAGTTATTTTCTCCGTAATTTAAGGATTTGAACACGGGTAGTCGATCATTTTTTCAAATATACACCGATGTGAATGGTCACCGATTTGTACCCCGGAACCGTTCTTATGAGAAAGACGAATGGTGAGGAGGAAAGATACTTGGACCCTACTCAGCCCTCTTTTCCTCCTTCTTATTTTCCATTTTACCATTTCACTTCCTCAGACGAAAAGTTCGTGAAATATAAATTTTTGAAAAATCGACTCGCCCATGGACCTAAAAGTAGCAAAAAAGAGTCTTACCATTTTCGTATCAATCGGAACCTGTCGATACTGATTGTACTTGTTTTTCATTTCTTCATATGTCATAAATTGGATAGCACCATGACTAACGCCAAACATGCCCGGAATGAAACCCTATTTATCACGCGAACAAATTGAAAATCAGTTTCAAACATTTGTAAAATGTCATAAGATTTACAAATACCAACCCGATAAAGTCCACGAACACCTTCTTCACGATAAATTTTTCCTAACGCATCGATCATTCCCTTGTATCGTGTTTGCGGCGTATCACCATCTCGGCCGTACTGTAAACATAGTCGCGTCTTTACAACCCAAATTGGATTTGTCATAACCAATGTTAAAATGCCCGCTTCAGCGGCCGCCACCATATGCAATGTCGGACCAAGTGGTGTTGTTGTATTACCCTTTTGTATCCAAGTTTTGATGGTGTTATAACTGTGTGTAAAACGGAAATTCATTTTGGGTTAGGAATTGACATTCGATGGCATAACCGCGATTTTGAGTTCGCTTCAATTTAATGGTGTTTATTTTTTTTTATTGTTCCTTACAACAAAAAGTAAAAACCCCATGCACTGCCCGAGCCGCATACATTTGGTGTAACACCTTTGTATAGACCACTTAAACCTTCTTGCCGAAAAATTGTGATGAACGCACTACTAAGGCCACGATATTGCGGTGCTGTCGTTGTTCGACCATTGTTCACTGGAAATTCAAGAAACAATGACAATTATTGATGAATACAAATTGAAATCGAAGAGGAATTCAATAAATTTCAGTTTGAATTTATACCTGCGAAACGAATTTTGATCAAATCCAATGGATGTAAGATGAGCGTTGAAGTTACACCACCAGAGAATCCAGCAACCATATGCTCATAACGAATGTGGGAAAATAGGTTCGTCTTGCGAGTGGTTCCGTTTGTTTTCATTGCAGCCATTTTATTATTATCAGTTTTTACGGTTAGCATTTAAATTTGTGGCTATATCGTTCTAAATTAATCTATCTCGTTGTAGTTCTTTCTAATTATAACAGGTATTTTGCGGAAATGTGTGTGTGTTTTTTTTCTTCTAGATATCACAATTGGTTTACGGCGAAAAGAGGCGAAACAGTAACTAAGGATTTTGTGTGATTTTTTTGTTGTTGTTGTATGCTCGATCGAATTTACGAAATAGTCTTTTTGAAATTATTAATTTTTCTATGCACTGATGATTCTAATTTTGACAATTCTAACACTAAAAAGTCATCGGTCACACAGATGCAACCATAATTCGAATTTGAATTTCGTTCCGGCATCATATCATTTGAAAGTAATATTTTTTAAAAATCGAATCGATAAGTACTGGTGCACAGACACGACGATATTATTTTTCTATCTCCTTCTCTCTCTATATCTCTCTCCTTAGTTCTCGTTTCTCAAAAAACCAATAATATAAAAAGGTTACATTGAACGCTTGAACTTTGATGTGTTTTCGTTCTGAAGTGTGGTGTTTGCGGTGACAAATACGGTGAATGACTTCAACCAGCTGATGGCTATGTATTAGATATGAAGAGTATATAGAATGCTAATCAAGTTGTCTTACTGTTGTAAACCATAAAATATAGTTTGGCGGTACGTCAATTACTACAATGTAGATTTGTTACTTCATGGTCGCATTCATCCAAATGAAAAACCACTTTATTTCCGCATTCGTTTATTTCGACGGACAATTTGACGAATTTTTTTTCTTTCGGATGATCACAAGAGAGATGATGCAAGATATACTAAATATTGCTTCACTTCAAATATACATATGTGTTATCAAATATATTTGTTATGCATATACACTTTCTATACTTTTTCAATTGCTTTGTTCACTTTTCTTTTACTTTTGCAATAAACTTGATTTCTTTAGAAAATTTTTTTTTACCAACTATACGAAAAAAACTTGATAAAATTTATGAAAATTTTTTCCTTTTTTTATGCAATAGACAAGTCAGCATGTGAAATGATACAATAGCTAATAGAGTACAGAAAAGATCTCATGTGCGTTTCACTAACACAATAGCACATACATTAATGACATATAGCACACATCTGGTAATGCTTGTCAGTTATTCGATGTTTTTTTCGTCTCACATACAACAGATGGCACCAGGTTATTTTCAATTGATGCCTTTTTATCATTTCAAATGGAACAATCAATCGAAATAAATTTAAACAATCGATTTAGTATGTGTATATTAAAAAAGGCATGAAAGAGTGCTGAAAAAAGGATGGAATTACGAAATTAAATTCTTTTACTTAAGAGAAAAGTCATTGGAAGAGAAGTCCATAGAAAAGGCAATTGGGGAGAAAAAACGGAAAAAATAAATAAATAATCTTGGTTCAATAAATTAAATTTAAATGGACCGACAAGGTGGAATTCATTTATTGGCAAAGGGAAAATGTCATATTTCATTGACTGGATTTAAACGTCTTATTTAATCAGGCCTATTTAACAATACAATGAATATGTTGACCTAGAATGGTGGTTTCTTTGATAACCGCTTATGTAATTCTCTATTCTACTTTAAAATGAAAACACACAATAGTGACTACTCTCAGAAAACTCAGATGTTAAAATTCAAAGTAATCAGAGCAAAGTGTCATTTTAACATGGGGGTATTTTTTCACGTGGTAAAATGTCATTTTACCCGCAACAAATTTCTTGGCGGGTAAAACGGCACTTTCACATGTGAAAAAATATCTCCATGTTAAAATGGCATTTTTACCCTCATGTTAAAATGGAATTGTATCATAAAATCGCTATCCGTATGCGTTGTTCACAAATAGCACCTATGAATAGGAGCTGTAGAAATAGCACTGCCATAGCTGTAGCCCAATCTATTCACTTTTGAGAATGCATTTCATAGAGAGTAGTTTTTATTTATCGAGAGAAATGTTGTATTTTGAATTACTGACAAGCTTCCATTGTGCAAGTAATTTAAGTGTGTTTCTCGCGAATAAGTTTGAAATAAAGTTGTGGCGCGCTGTTGTACAGTCGCATTTTAAACACCTTTGTGCACATTTAATTAAGAAAAAACAGTGTTTCATATATCGCTATCAGTATCCGTAAGATAACTGAGAGGGATATATTCAGCCAGATATGAAACTGTCTAAATTAGACATTGGAGATGGTAAGCGTGTCTAATGCAATTTTGACACAATTTTGACACTCATATCTGGCTGAATATATCACTCTCAGTTATCTTACGGATACTGATAGCGATATATGAAACACAGAGAAAAAATGAAGTTGATCAATGTGTTTGCTTCATAGTACAAAATCGAACATCAAAAAAGTATTATAATAATAATATTACAATAATTATTGTATAAGCCTTTTGTATTAAAGTTTTAATATTGTTATAGCTGTATGTGAACGAAATTCAGTTTTTCACTTTTGTTGACATATGTTCAACAATTCATTTTGTGATAGAAATCAAAATTCAACGTCAGAGTCGCAGTTTAAAAATTTTTTCGATCGAATGATGTGCTGACATTGTTCTTTACAACAAACAATAAAACCATCACAAATTGTAGATATTTCACCTTTATTGTAATTATTTCTTATAACCAGAGATTATATCTGACTTTGGCAATAAATACGTATTACATAAAATATGAATGCGATATGCATAAATTTTAGTTTGAAGACCTCAAAATCTTGAATGAAAACTTCAAACTATGGCTGTTTAAAGATCCAAAAACACATTAAATTGTGTTAAATTAAATTGGCTATTCAATAATGAATTTAATTAAGTCAGAAATGTCCCAACTAAACAAAATCTAAATGGTACGCTTCAAAAAGTATTAAACGGGGTTCGATTTCGTCATGTATATGCATGTAAAAAAATCTCCGTTTTTCTTTTATTTAAATGAAAATGTTAATCGAGATGTTTTCAAAAATGTTACATTTTTGTCACTTAACATAGACTGCGATAGACACAATCAATTGTAGTAAATTCTGTAAACATCTCAAAATTCATTTTGACGTTCTTATTTAAAATACATTATGAGAATTTTTCCCATGAAGACATCGGGCAAAACAAACCAAAAAAAAATTCTCTTGTTCAATTCTGTAAAATGAAAACTGTCGTACAATTCGTTAAAAATGTTCAAATTTGATTTCTTAAATTAATGCATTGATTCTGATGGTATAAATATTATTCCGTTTTAAGATGTTCCGTAATTTCGGCTTCCCAGCAATCTTGTGGCCAGCCAGTTCTAACTTTATTTCTCTTTGGTTCGATTAAATAGTTTGCATCTGAATTATTCTGAAAGTATAAGAAATCCAATCAATATCAAAGTCAAGTTCTAATTTTATACGCACATTCGCCGAATTCACGAACGAAAAACAGTCGAGATAAAAGTAAGTTAACTTGAAAATAAAAAAGTATTATGTAAACTCTGTGTTCGCTACATTTATCAGACATTTAAAAAAAAAAATCCGAAAACGGGCATCTGGTTTTGTTACTACGATTCTAATGAAATTATGAATGAGATGGAACATTACTTCTTCGAATTGAATAATAAAATCTTCGAAGCATGAATTTATCGACGTATTCTCCCAAACATGTAACCGCGATTGTGAGTAAAGAAATATCTCTGTTTTCTATTGATGTTGAAATTATTTTCTCACATTAGCGTATATTGCGTATGGTTAGAGTAAGTCACGCCCCTAATATAAGTTGTTCAAAACCACAACAACGTGAAGTGTGACCACAATGATGCTGATGATTGTATTTGTGAGGGGAAAATTGCTTCATTTGTATTAAGGGGTAAGTGGTAAAATATGCCTTTTAAACGATGTAAGCGTGTCTTTGGTAAACGGGAATATAATTCAATTATTCAATTGACACCATAATACTCATAATTAACTCTTATCAAATTATGAAGCAAAAGAACAGCAAAACATCATTTCCCAAAATTGATCTTAAATGTAATGCGGTAATAATATTTTGGCGGAACGAAAGCTGTGTGCATGGCAAGGCAATAAAGGAGCATATTTATTTTATTGAAAATAGTCAATGAAGCACATGTTTTCTATATTAAGTTATGTTGTAGAAAATAATCCAATAATGAAATAAGATCACATTTTATTCGAAGATAATACAATTAAAACACATTTTCCATCAACACAATTTATAAGGAATTTTAATATATAGCCACTACCCGCGTTCACATATAATACCAGTCAGACAATTGGAGTGGAACCTTTTGACTGGTGACGCATGAAGATTGGAATTTGAATAAACGTCAGAAAACGCGGACTATTATGACTTATATTGATTGAAAAAACGACAAATCCGAGTCAACTGCCAAAAAATCAGACAATAAATTGTATGATATAATATTCAAATGTCCACTTATGTCACATTCGATACGAAATAGCACTGTTGTTATTTTTGTTACAAGTCACAATGTTAGATGTTGACGCCAATGATTTTAGAGGAAAATATTGGCGAAAATTCGCAGGGATACTGGAAAAAATACCAAAAATTCAAATGGCTTTTTTGATTCCACTTGGACCAAAAGTGAAAAGCACAAAGCACTTTATGAAAATCGAAAGAATCTCGTTCCGATTGGTAGGTCCCGTTTTCAGTTCCTTTCGACGGGGTTAATTGGGACCCTTTAAAGTTGGATTTACACCTACGGACACTTATTTCAATGCAGAACGTGTCATTCTTTCAATTATTGTACGCACACAAGTCCAGCCAAACATTCATCTGGTCAAATATTTTCTTTACCTGTGCTTCAACTTTGGCTTTGCGTTCAGCATTTATTTTCCGTGATGATAAAATTTCGGCTCGAAATTCACTGGATGGATCTTGATCACCTTTCAATACTCCATTCAAATAAGTTATATATGATGTTGCCAGCCTTAAGGTCTTTATCTATTGAAAACGAACCAATCAATCACGTGACATTTTTATTGTATTTTCCACAACGGTACGTACCTTTGAAAGTTTTGTATCAGATGGTACGTTTGGTATACAATCTCTGAGGAATGCAAACGCCGAATTGATGCTCTGTGTTCGACGGCGTTCTTTTTTATTGGCGGTTGTTCGGCGTTTGCCAGTACGCACAAATGGCGGATTAACTTCTATGTCTTTTGTTGATGTTTCGCTGTAATAAATTCGTTCGTAATTTTTACATTGAATCGTTTGCTCCGAACATAAAACGGTGGCGGAGGGTGCGGTAAACAGTATTCGATGCTGGTTTGATCTGTCCAATTGTACATTAAACATATTGGGCGAATGTTCACCATAATTTTGGATGGAATCCGAACTGCATGGCGACGAATTCCAATACACTTCTTCAACTGTAAAATAGAATTAATGCATGGAATATATCTATGTTTGATTTCATATAAACAATTACTGAAAAAGTTTATGAAATTTAAAAAAAGTAAAAATCAATAGTTTTATTCTTAATAAAATGGGATAATTCTTTCATTTAAAGAGATTTATAATCTCAGAATGCTTCGAAATCATTTGAGGGGTTCAGAGGAAAAATGTTATGTCGAAAAGTTCCTAACCAATTGATACCAAATAGCTTTAGTTGAGCTATTTGGTACCAATTAGCTTTGCTAAATGACATCATTTAGCTCCCGAAAATTTTTCCGCGGAACTTTTCTACATAACATTTTTCCTCCGAACCCCTCATTTATAATGTGAACATAGTTAAACCCGATTCTATCAAATTTAATATCAATGCAATGTCTCAGCGGAAAAATGTTAAATTAACAAAAAAACACATTTATTGAGATGAGCCTTGATTCATACTTTTTTCTCTTAAAAGTACAGTTATTTCATTGGGTATGTAACATCATACAAGATGTGAATTAAATACAAAATTCGAAAACAATTTTACGAGTTTAATGTGATGGAGCATTTTGTTGAACAGGACACATGGATGTACCCTTTTAAAACTCGAATTCACTTAAATTAATTTTATCTTTGATTAACTAAACTTTAACAAAAAATAAAAATATCATTTCTGGGATCACATTTTTTTAAAAGTCCTTATGAAAACTGAAAAGTTTCATATTAAAACTGAAAAGTATCATATAAATCAGGTTTTTGAGAGAGAGATGACATATAATGGAGTTGCTACTGTATTTTGTTCAAGTGTCCAAAGTAACGCAAAAGTCCACTATCGAATTTAGTCAGTTGCAGATCATTCTTTCGTAATTATATTGGCAGTGCAACTTAAAAATGTCGTTTTTTTTGGTTTAAAATATAACTTTATTTCATAAATTCTGTAAATAACATGCCATTCAAAGTATTGGCCATGGGAAGCTATAACCTTTTCCCATCTTTCTGGCAGCATATGGATTCCGCGCCAAAAGAACTGCTCATTTTTTGAGGTTAGGAAAGAATCAATCCAATTTTTGATACCTTCAATTGAAGTGAAGCGTATTCCAGACAAGGCATTCTGCATCGATCGAAACAAGTGATAGTCAGAAGGGGCAATGTGTGGGCTATACGGCGGGTGGGGAAAAACTTCCCAAATTGTTTTCGACTGTATTTTTGTTGTTACATGGCAGGCTTATATCAAACTCTCGGAGACTCGGTAAAACGCACAAAAAAATTAAAAAAAAAATTGTTTACTAAAATTTATCCAAAAATAAACACAGCAATGAAATCCCTACTACCGTGCTAGATGGTGTCGACACGAGTGTACGGAATTTTAAATTTATTTGAACGACGCCATGTTACTATACTTGTCCATTACAACGTACATGTAACAGAAGAAACACACAGTCCATGTCCACGCTAGTGGACATAAACGATTTGAACCGTCAATGTGAACTAGATCAAGTATAGAACTTTACATAGGATCATATACGATGAATATGGATTGCACAGTCTGTTTCAAAATACCGTCACCAATGTCGACACCATTTGACATCAAAATTTTGACAGTAAAAATATGTGCTATTGTTGTTGTCGTTTCATTGCTGTGAAAATAAATGAGACTTCGGATAAACTGAATTTTATATCAAATCGTCTCATATTGAGGTTAGGTGTTTTTTGTGTGCACAATGAATATCTTGCTTGGGCGTTTATTTTGCTCGTTTGCCGCGCTTCCCATACGATTTCTTACGCTTCGGGTTTTCGTAATGAATCCATTTTTCATCACCAGTAAAAATTCGATGCAAAAACGACTTCCTTTTGTTGCGCTCAAGCAGCATTTCGGACATGCAAAATCGTCTTTCAACGTCTCTTGGTTTCAATTCATGTGGTACCCAATTTCCTTGCTTTTGAATGAATCCTAATGCTTTTAAACGTTTTGAAATGGCTTGGTGAGTCACTCCTAATGATTTTGCAAATTCTTCTTGAGTTTGACACGAATCTTGATCGAGTAATACCTCCAATTCTTCATCTTCAAACTTTTCCAAAATTTAGAAACACAATTTGTTAAATCATTCATTCCCATTCACTGTTCGAAAATATTCCCATAAATAGATGAAAAAATATAAAATATAAACATAAAATTGTTTGGTACTTTTATTTTGTAATTTTTTTGTTAGAATATTGTTTTGAGTTCTCCCTCCCAGTCTAATAGATTATTGCTCAAAACTCTTTATCAACATTTTTAGATAAACAAAAATAATCGCTATGAAGTAAATTATTAACAGAAAGTTGAATAAACTCAGACGTTTTCCGGAAAAAAAACCACTTGAACCACTTGAGATCAAATTTCGATACCGAATTGAATGAAGTGCTTCTGCTGGAGTATATGTAGAATGAAAAAATCAGACTTTCAAATTGATTACATAAATAAACTGAAAAAAATAAACCGTGAAGAGACATGTATATTAAATTCTTCTATCATATGAAATTTGTCTATCAAAGCATTCTTAATGGATTCTTCTGTTTAATGTGAGCATGCAGATGCTTCAGAACTTGTCGCTTCTCAGCACTTGTTATACAATATTCCAAATAAAAATAAGAATTTTTCAACAATCAAATTTTATTGTGATTTGGTTTTTTTTTTTCAAACAGTAATAGAAGATTCTCTAATCGACAATTTTGTGTGCAACTAATTTTTTTGTAACTCATTCAAGTTGAAATTTTTCTCTATTTTATGTCGATTCGAAAATACGTATATTGAATATTTGAAGGGAAACGAAAAAATGATATACCAACAATACACTTTGTTGAAAATTAAAGAGGATTTGACTTATGCAAAGGATGTTGGCGTATTATTAATCCACATCTCTCTTATGTGAGAATGAACTCTGTTCTTTGTGAATTCCTTCGAATATATCGCGAAAAAATCCATACTTTCAAATTCTATTCAAAAATTGTTATTTTTATTCTACAGCTCAATGCGTTTTTGGCCAGACGGCATTTCATATAAAAAATAATCCTTATTTTACAAAAATTTGTGAAGGGGAACAAAAATAAAAGATTTCATTGAGTGATGAAACTTTAAATTGAAATAAAACACATACAAAGATCTTATTCGTATTTAGTCCTTTTCGTGATGACTTTGACTACATGTCTATTTTATTCGGATCGATCCGTCGGTCGTAGTTTCGATCAATTTTTTCTCCCATTTCACATTTCGGTCTATTTTTCACTCAGTAGTGTATGTGAAAACGCCTCATTTTGAGCCAAGAAATAGCCAGAAAGGATGCTATAGAGTCCATTAGAGTTGGCCAAAAGTGACTGTTTTCTTCTCCAGAAAGGATCCTGGTGTCATGTTATAGTAGCCCGATATTGCTTGAAATACTCGAAAAATGGTCGAATTTTGGACCAAACGATATACCGGGTTAAAACATGTCCTTATTATGTATTGAAATCACTATTTAACCATAAATGACATCACTAAATCAACCCAGTACAGCTCTCATGATCCTGTGTGTGTATTTCATTTGAATGGCAATTTCTATCGCACAAAGAGAAACAATCTTTGTATGATAAATTGATGAATAATTTTAGATATTTGAAAGAAATTGTAAGTTATGAAGAAATTCGTATACTGTAAAAAGCATGAATACTTCTACTACTTTTAAACGAAGAAAGCCATATGGTTTATATTTTATGTTTTTAATTGAAGAACTCTTATGGAAATCATAACCATTTTTATGGTTTTTTTTATGTCTCAACTAGATTAATACCTATAAATTAATAAATGTATCTTTCAAGATTTAAGTGGCCTGGTGTTTCATTGAAAATTGAAAATAAAACACCAACTCAGTATGAAAAAAATGCATATTGCTATTTTAATGTCACTTTAATCCCGAAATATGTATGAAAGTAATCCCATAGAAATGTCTAAATGAAACTAAATATCCAATTCTAAATGTAAAATAATTTGGTTATCACTATGAATGATTTAAACTTTGTTTTCCGTCGGTTATTGGTTTGGTTTTCATATAAATATTTGTCAGTAGTTAAAAAGAAAATCTAACTGAAATGTAAAAAAATCAATTGAACATTTTCAAAAACTCTCGACATATAAAAAAGAACTTTCAAACTTTTAACATTTTCTTCACAATACGGAAATAATTTTTCCGATAAAGTGATCCAAATTTATGATCTTTTATTTCGATGAGCATTGAATTAAACGAATACTGTGTTTGATCCGAAAAAAAGTGTAATACGTACGTTCATTTGGGTGTATATGTGAGTTGTAAATTTGAGGAAAACGGCAATTACTCGGTTCATAAACACTGGATTTCAAATCCGAATCTATAAAGTTATAGTTCACGTTAGACATTATAAAATCGTCGCTGTAAAAAATCTTTTATTGCAACAAATTTGTATTGTAAATGTTTACAAGAAATCTATATAAACTATCTTAAGTGTTGAATTTGGTTTGGTTTGTTTGTTAAACAATGTTTGTGGAAAACGTGGTGAACTGTCTCGCGTTTAAATTTAACTAAATCACATTTTCCTATGTAAATGATCGAGAGTGTATTTCAAGTTAATGTAACCGCCACCAACATGAGTATGCGCATACACTAAGCTCCGCCCCTTCTAGATACAATGTTCTGCGTCCCTGATGATTTTTACGAAATTAAAAAAATCACTTGATTTATCTCGAACACCTTCAATTTTATTACTCCGAATTTTGTTTTTGTTTTAAAACGAAATGTATAGCGTTCTATGTCGTTCGTTTTTAAAAAGTTACTTTGGATTTTGAGATTTGTGATCCTTTATTTGTGCATTGTATATTCTCTGTACTAGCGACACTCATACAAAATATCTTTAGACCTCTGCATTATATTATTAAAAGTAATAAAACTTGTACGAAATTTGGACACTCATATCCACTCACATTCATTTTAGATGTTGATGAAGTGGCTCCACCTTCTTGAGTGGGTGGTTCTATTGGCATAGAAATGATTTCTTATTATTTAGCTATGCAGTTACTTCATTTGGATATTTTTCGAGTGAACGTTCTATGAAATGTAATAGATAAATTCGAGTTTTGATTATAGTTCAAGTGAGAGTTATATATATTTATAAAGAAAAACAAAAGAATTGTGTTTGAATCTAATTTTATACGTTAATCATATATCACTTAATGAAATTGTGATAAAATCAACCGTAAATCCTTACGCATCCATTAATACCATCGAATTCAACTGGTTTTGCATTCAGTGTAATAGTAATAAAAGCGTTCCTTCGACAGTCGGTGTTCCTGATTTGGCTTTGAAGGCATTGGCCTATTGAGGCTATTTAATGCTTATATTGCCTATTTTCAATAATTGGCAATCATCGAATTTGGATGTATATACACCATTTAAAAAGAACTTTTAGTGATAATAAAACTATTTCGTTCCATCTCAACGACGTCAGTTTGCGTGAAAAATTAACAATGAGAAAGAAAAACAGTTGACTCTCCAAGAAGTAAATGTATATAACATTACAGCATTCACAATGTACTTGTATGCCTACAATCACTCTTCCATATAAAATACATTGTGTTATTGTATGCATACGCTTAGGCATATCGTTGAGGCCCCATATAGGCATAATCCTTCCATTTAAATACATTGTAAAAGCGTTACAATTTCACCGTGTTGGTAGGCCTAAATAGGGATAATTTTGCTCATTGGGTCTTATTGCCTTCTATTTCAATGCGTTCACTCTCATAGAGTTTCATACATACAACTCAAATCTTGTTCAACTCTGGTTATTGACAACTCAAATGTGAACGAATATGGCTGAACCACTTTAATGCCAAAATAAATATCTTGGCTTGCCATTTAACCATTTTATGCTTTATGTATCGATGTTTTGACAAGTGGAATTAAAAAAAAAATTCCCAACTCTCAAGTTTACTTAAAATTCATGAAATAATGATACAGATAGTCGGTAGTTCGTTGTACTAGAGCTACTATTCACAAGATCGATCAAGTATTCTCAAAAGCTACAAAGTGGGCCATTTCAATCAAAATGGTAGAATTTAAACTTGAGTTACAACGTACAAATCAATTTTTTCTTAAATTCCCATAAAAAATCTTAAGAAAACTCGTGCGTACGTAGCCGCATGATACAGACATTCGTTATTCCGAAATGCTATGGCATGCGAATCAAAGTAGACGAAATAAGAATAACGAATTTGCGTGCGTATTATATATGTATGCATCATGCGGCAGCGTACGCACTCGTGGATCCGGATCTTGCGGAGATCTTACGCATCTTTCCTATCCAAAAATCATTGTATGTAAAAAAGAAATAGAAAGCTAATCATATACAAAATCTTATGGAAGAAAACAATGAATTGATCGATAAAAGTCACACTTTCCCATTACACTGACTTAAGAATCGATGGTGATGAAGATCAAACTAAACCTACCGCAATATTATATGTTTTGATCAAGTAATTTACTCGACTTTAAGTTATATTCAATATTCAATACAAG